CGCCCGACTGTCTGGGTTCTCATCCCGGCTCTCTCTCCCAACAGCCCTGCGCTCCTGCGCGAACTGTCTGACCTCTGGCCGCAGTTTCCTGGTTCACAGAGGAAGCCCAGCACCGTACGCTGCACACCGCACAGCGCTGGGAGAGGGAACGAGTCAGTACATGCAGAGCGTCCGTGAACACGGGCTCGGTGGGTGCCAGCCACCACGACGACGATGACGACGACGACGAGGAGGAGTGAGTGAACGTCAGGGAGACCTCGGAAAGCGAGCACAGGGAGGGCAGACACAGAACTGCTCACCAGCCCCGCAACACCGTGAGCCGCACAGGGAGAGCTGGCGTCAGTAAAAGCCCCCACAGAACGAAGAGTGGACTCTCAGGGCCTGCAACCCGAAGCGGCTGCACAGGGTGAAACGGAGGAAGCTCACGCCGCCTTGGTCCCTCTCACGGTAGAAAGAAGTCCCCCCCCCTTTTTAAACTCAATCTTTTTAAAAGATTACTTATTTATTTACTTTTAGAGAAGGGGAAGGGAGGAAGGAAGAGAGGGAGAGAAACACAACATGTGGTTGCCTCTTGTGCACCTGCCACCAGAGACCAGGCTGCAGCCCAGGCCTGCGCCCTGACTGGGACTCGAACAGGAGACCCTTTGGTTCGCAGGCTGGCTCTCAACCCACTGAGCCACACCAGCCAGGGTTGTTTAATCTTTATTATATTTTCCCCATTAACATTTAGTCCCCTTTTACCCCCCACCCCCAGCAATCACCAGGTAGAAAGAACTCTTGACGGGGAGAGCAGCGTGAATCCAGACCAGCAGGGGAATCCCTCAGTTTTGTGTAGTAATTTTCCGCACATTAGCTTGAACGACCCTACTACACCTCTCCCAACTCTCCCCACCACAAAACTGGTTAAAAAAATTAAAACAAGTACTCAGATGTCCAAGGAACATACCACTTAGGAGTCCAGCTCCCAAAGGCCTGCCCCCAGGCAACCATTTAATTAAATAACATCCCTTTCCCAGTTGGCCGCCATCACTACTAATCCCTACACACTTTTAAGCACCTAACAAATAAAAACTTCCAAGAAGCTACTAGACAGTAAGCTTTTTGAGGGCAGGAACATGATTCCAAAGGCAGGCACCAGCTACGAACTTAACGTAGCAGACGGAGTTAACACCCCCAAACGCCCCTCCAATGGGTCTCAGGGAAAGTAGTCATACGTACACGGCACTAGAGTCTTGTACTGTGTACGACTCCAGGGTTCTCTAACCAGCAGTCCAATGGGAAAGACTGCAACACTCTTAAACCACTATTTTATTGCTTCTCAGGTTTACACCACATCCTACTGCCGAGGATAGCTAACTTGGAAATGGTGGATAATGTGAGCCATCATACAACCGCATATTTTTCTGAAAGAAACTCATAGTCTAAGTAACACAGTCACAGGGCAATAGCTTCAGGGACGCTGCAGCTGGCCTCCTAGCCATGTCACACACACGAACACCGAGACCCGGGGGCAGGGTGCCCACCTCTGCGTTCGGACCGAGGCAAGCTGGACAGTGCCGAGTGTTTAAAGCCCGGGGGAGTCGCACGGGCGAGGCCGTCAGAGCACTGGCCTGGACTTTCTCACAGTCCCCCCTCTGGCTCTGCCCCAGGGGTCTCTCTTGGAGCTGCAGGGCTGATTCAGCTGCACGCAGCAGGCAGTCCCTGGCTGCCCAGACTGCTCACTGAATCCCAAGGACGAGTGCAGAAGGGGAAAAGGACCCGACGCCAGGTGAGCTACCTGCTAATTACCAGCGGGATATAAAGGTCTCCTGACACTGGTTACGGTGTTGGGATCGATGATGAAGCCAAATGCCCACAACCATGCCTCTGATCCAAACTCTCATCCCTTCATACCTGCATGGCCACGCTTTTTACCTTTGCGTTTAGAGTGCGCCAGGGATGGTGCGGATTCGTGCGTGTTTACGTGGGCACATACACAGATATCCACCTGTGCGTTTAGTTTAACCTCCCAAAACGTCTAAATGAGGCAGGCTTCGTCATCCCCTCTTACAGACAGGCCCACCTTGCCCCAAAGCCCCACCTCTCAACCTCTGGTTCACACGGACCCCAACACCCACCTCCTCGCCTGTGGCCCAGCCAGGTGCACTTTTCTGGGCTGAGCCGTGCTTGTGAAAGTGGAACAGCAGCACCTCAGGGCTTCCTAGATCGGAACCAGCCTCCTCAGACTGGCCTTCAGGGTCACCGAGTAGACCTCGCCCCCCTTTCTCTGAGTCCCCAGAAGGGCTCATGCATGATGTACACTGTATCTTCCATACGTGCACACCTGAGACGGGCACCTCACTCCTCTACCTGCAGGACCGCTGTAGGTTCTCTGGCAGACGCGCTTCCTTGATCTGGTCCCGCCGCTCCCCCCACTATTGCTTCTTTAGTCTCTCTGCCAAGGTGCAAAATCTCTGCTGCACTCACACTCACACACTCTTAAACGCTCTCTAGCTGATGTGCGCGTACGCACCCTTAGAAACAGTGAGTCCCTTCTCAACAGAGGACACACCTTTTAAAGCCTGGCTCTGCCCACCCCCTCAGTGTCTCTCCATTCCTGAGCAGCAGCGGCACCTGTCCACCTGCCTTGTTTCATCCGGACCAATCCGCTCACACGTTCTCCAAGCAGCCGCAGAGGGCTCCGTCGCGCCAGTTCCCCGGCGATCTACTCCAGCGCCGAGCTGTCCCTTTAACACTTGCATTGCGGGTGCTGAAAGGTGGCGTGGGCTCCCCGCACTTAACACGGCCGTGCAGAGCGAGGGGCTTTTTCTAGGTTCACGTCCACACAAACACGTCCTCTGTGCACTGACACGTAACGTCACGGCGCTCATCACTACCTGGTAAGACATCTGTCTGTGCTCACGACTTGGTACAGACCGTGAGCCCCACGAGGGCAGGGACTTCGTTCCTCACGCTGCTTTGTCTCCAGGACCCAGACCGTCGCCTGGCTGAGACACAGTGTTCAGCTCTGCTGAGTGAGTGAGCAGACACTGTGACGGATTACACAGGTACATAGACCCCTAGAGGAAACAGCAAAGGCCCTTTTCATACCGCACTTCTAAACCACGAAAATGAATGATATGACTTACTACTTCAAAGAAATGAATTCGGCCCTGACTGATGTGGCTCAGGGGACTGACCGCAGGCCTGACTGCAAGCCCAAAGGTGGCTGGTTCGATTCCCAGTCAGGGCACGTGCCTGGGTTGCGGGCCACGGCCACAGTAGGGGGTGTCTGAAAAGCAATCACACATCGATGTATCTCTTTCTCCTTCCTGCCCCTCTAAAAAATAAATATACAAAATCTTTTTAAAAAGTGAATTTTAAAGTATTAAAATAAAGCATAGAAACCCCAGAGCTCTGAAGGCAAACTTAGTTTACACGAGGCTTAAAACACTAAGTCTAAAGAACTCTGGACTCGAAGTTTAAGAACTGCATTTACTGCCAGAGGCTTTATTTTTGTTCATTCCAAAGCCCGAAGATTTTTAGTTGTTAAAGAAAAACTGGAGTACAAACTCCAAGGCCCAGTATTTGTGCCCAGGGCGAGAGCCACGCATAATAAAGTCGCTGGCACAGTCACGACGGCGGGAAGGACCCACTTCTCCTCTCCAAAGCAAAAGAGGAGCAAGAGGAAGGCACCTCACCGCGAACAAAGCCGGCCGGGGCCCCGGGGAGTCCGCCCAGACAATGGGAACCGCGGCGGAGGCGAGTCGGGGGCTGGGTCACAGGGGGCGGAGTCTCGGGAAAAACACCCGCGGAGAGTAAATCTGCGCCAGACGCATTCGAGAGGGAGCCGTGGCTCCGAGGGGACCTCCCGGGACGCGAGTGTGCCGGGAGGGGGGTGCGCGACCCGGAACGCCGGGTACAAGTGGCCGCAAGGTTCTGTGCTCATTTGGTCAGCTACGGCGACCCTAGCCGCTTCGCTCTAAGCGCTGGGTGCGAGGGGGAACCCCCCGGACGAGGCGCGGGCCGGGACTCCCCGGGGACCGGGGACGCAGCCGAGGGAGGACCCGGGATGGCTTACTTTGAGGAGGCAGCTGTTGAGAGGGGCGGGCACTGAGGTGCGGTGGATAACCAGGTCCTGGCCCGGGTTGTGCACGTCGCAGATGAGCTCCAGGACAGCGATGCTGCGGGCCGTGGACACGGATACGCGGTGGTCTTCCGACCAGGTCAGCGGCTCCAGGCCGCTCACCGCGTACTGCAGCCTCACGGCCGGCTCCCGCCGAGTCACCAGGAGGCGGAACGCGTCGCTGGGCCCGGGGGTCGCGTCCGACGCCTGCTCCTTCCTGCCGGCCTCGCCTCCCTGCCCCTCGGGCGGCGCCGGCCCGTCGGCCGCGGGCCCCAGCCGGGCCTTGTCGGCCGCGTTCATCTCCCGTTAGGTGCTGCGGCCGGACCCCCGGGCGCGCCAATACCGCGTCGCCGTCCGGTTGCCGCCTCCCGCGCCGCCGCCACCGGCCCCCAGCGCCCTCCGCGGCAGTTTTCTCCCCTCAGGCCCAAAGCGCCGCCGAGCCAGGAAGGACCCCGCCGTTGCTAGGCGACCCAGACCTGCCAGGTGGCCAAGGCACTGCCTGTCTAAAAAAACACGCCACCTCGGCGGGCGGGGTTGAAACGCCGGGGTTCGGTCGCGGGGGAGGGGCGGGGAGCCTCGAGGACCCCTCCGGGTGACCGAGCCCCAGGTCCTTTTAGTGACTTCTCGGGGGGGGCACTAAACTGCTGAGAAAATGGTACCCCGCGGACAAACGACGGACATGTCGGTTAGCTGGCGCATGGCCTGTTGTTGCTCAAAGAAATCCAAAGAACTTCACAAGCATGAACTCTAGTGTTGCGTGTCACTTGGCCTCCGCTGCCACAGGCCACGCCACGAGGGATGCCAAACGGGACAGTCACCCCTCCCGCCCCCCGTGGCTCCAATCAACGGTGGGGTAGGCGGTGCTCACGCGTCCTGCGAGACGCGGAAGGGGCAGGGCGGCAGGACCCGGCGGGGCAGCTACGCGGGGTCCTCGCGCGCGTCCCACGTGGCCCGAGCGGAGCTTTGGTCGAGGTTCGCGAGCTGCAGACGCGCCCCGCTTGCCAGCGTGTGGCCGCGCCTCCTCGCCGGCCATGGCAGCCACCGACGGAGTGCTCCTGCAGCTTTCCGCCGCCCCCGGGACGTCCTCCAGAACCCGCACGGCCCAGGCCAGGCGGGTGAGTTCTGGGCGCCTGCAGGTCCATCGGCACCGGGCGGGGCTCGGCCCGCGCGCGCGGCAAGCCGATCGCTGCCGCTTTGCCTCAGGGGTTTGGAATTATCTACGGAGTTTGGGGGGTGGGGGTGGGGTCAGACTTCCCGCTGCTTGTGGAGATGTCGCTGAGCAACACGTGTCGAAGACCAGAACCCCACTCCGCGGGGATGATCTTGGAAGGGCGAGAGTTAGCTGGGGCTGCTAGTTGGAGGAATTGGAAGGAAGGGATTGGGGGCTGGCGCCCATAGAAGTTGGAAGTGACGCGTAGGCCGGAGTCTTAGCGCTGTCACCACCCACATCTCAGCCTCCGTTTTCTCGACTTCGAGGGTCGATTGTTTGAGGAACGAGGACTAGACTATAGGAGTTAATTCTGAGTGCTTTAAAAACGCACAGATTTCATCCACGCGCAATGGAGGAGCAAAAGAAAGTAAGACTCAACAATGCAATTCTCTTACTAGGGAGGGGGAAGAAGCCTTAAACTTGGCACAAGCCGGAGCTGAAAACTGGTTTCCGGGATGATAGACTTATCTCCTGGAAAAGGGGAGGGCTATAGAGCAGAAAATCTGTTGTAAAATCACTGTTATTTTAAACACCAAGAAAGGGTGCAATCTCTTGCCGAGGAAGTGTGTGTGTGTTTTCTTGAAAAAGCAACGGATAATTCCACTGAAAAGTTAATTGCCAAGGTTCATGCATCCAGTTTGTTAAAGCTGAAATTCCCTTGAGTCCTTACAAACTATCACCCAGTGTCTGGAGCCTTTTTGGTGATTCGTATTTGTATTTTATTTTGTTTGCTTATTTAGTTATGTATCTTGACAAGCTTTAGGATTTAGAGGCTTGGGCGGAAGCTTTGAGCCAGCCAGCCGCGGGGCCCCATCCCTGTGGGAGGAGGGGGAGGGAAAGTGCGGAAGAGCGTCTGCGCGCCTGGGGTTTGCACAGGACGGGCCTGGGGCTGGACGCCGGCGTGGCGCCAGGCCAGCTCTGCGACCTGGAGGAGGTTGCCTCCCTTCTGACCCTTACACGGGCCCTAACGTGAGAACGGTTCTTTCTACTTCGCATGCGTTTATTGTGACGATTAAAAGAGCTGATGAACATAAAGACTACATATTTTCTGACTTACAGAGGCACTCACTAAACGCTAATAAAAAAAATAAGTACCGTATTTTGTCGTGTGTAATGCGCTCCAATGTGGAATGTGCACCCACGGTTTTGGCCCAAACTTTCAGGAAAAAAAAAAATCTTTGTTTTTAATTTTTTAATTCAATTTTTATTTATATTTAGATATTTGGTTGTAGTATTATAAAAGAATTTTAGCATTTACTTTGAAAATATTACGAACATGTCAGCATTTGTTTTTGAACATAATTTAAAACACTTATTAGAATATACAGAATTAGCACTACACGTGTATAGCGCGCACCCTTATTTTTCTCTCAAAATTTTGGGCAAAAAAAAAGTGCGCGTTATCCATGGCAAAATATGGTGCGTTCCTCTTGGCTGCATTTTGTGGAACAGAATCTTCGCTGCATCGGGAGTTCGGTGGGCTGCCTGGGCCGCTGCATGACCTGGTGGCCGACACAGAGGGAAAGTCTCCGCTGGACCTTTGAGTGAGCTGAGTGTAAACACAGGGTGTCGGGTTTGTTTGAACTGCCCTGTGTGGAAGGGTGTTAATTAACGAGGTGAGGACGAGTGTCTGCAGTGGCCTCGCCTGCATCCGCATTTCTGTTTGGGTCACCAATGAGGGTTGTGGCTGTGCTGAGCTTGGGTGGATAGCCAGTGTCCCGGATGTCGAAAGACTTCGATGGCCTGAGTTATGCTGACCCTGTGCAGAGTATGTTCTTATTATTAAGTTAATAACAAATTGTAGAGAATTTGGGAAGTAGATTTAAAAAAAATACTCCCTTAACTCTGGGTAACATTTTGGTGCATGTCCTTTTAGAAAACAACTCAAAACAAAATAGGGACCCGACTAGTCACGCTGTTTTCTAACCAAACGGGATACAGTTAATAAAAGGTATTACAGCATTGTTGTTGGGGCTGTGGCATCGATGCCTTGGGCAGAGCCTGGGCCCCACGGGGATCTGGGGGTGGCGCGCCCTCGTCCCACCAGGGGCGTCCTCTGAAAGTGAGGTGACACCGGCCCCTGTACTGATAAATGAGACCATTCACGCAAGCACGTAGCATGCCACTTACGCGTACTGAGCCTAAGAACTACTCAGTGTGTTTACTGACATCAAAGACACAGCATCTGGACTTCTGGGGCTAGCTGGGTCCCAGAGGTCACTGCCGTGACCCCTCATTTTACAGGGCGGACACGGAGACTCAGAAGTGACTTGCCTGATGTGCGGCCATTCGTCAGTAGATCTAGACCTGTCCTTGTTCCTCTCTGCTCCGATGCCACCTCATAAAGCCTTCCTGTCCCCTTGCCGTCGGCCGTGGTGGCCTTCCTTGTTGTGTGCTCTCGTGGCCCCTTGCCCGCACCTCTTCTGCAGGCTGCAGGGTAGGCGTTGGCTTGGGCCTCTGGTTTACCCTTTCCCTCTGCCGCGAGCCCGTGGCTCCCTCAAGGGCTCTGCTGACCTTCCAGCTTGTACCTTCAGGACCCGGCCGCCCGGCAGCTGCTGAGTGGTCAGTGTTTTAAATCACTGCACAGTGGAACCTTGGTTCTCCAACTTAATTCATTCTGGAAGGCTGTTCACGCAGCGATTTGTTTGAAGACCCCATCTCCTTTGTTTGTTGCCTGAGAGACCCGTGGCTGATCTTGCAGGTATCGGCACAAACGGGTTGCTGGGTCGAGATTCGAAGTTTGTTCGACAGCGGGATGTTTGCACTGTGAGCCACGTGGGGGAGGACCGACTTGTTGGAGACGGGAGACGTTGAGAGCCGAGGGTGGGCTGTATGTGGGGGTGGGGGGGCTGGCGAGCAGGAGGAGAGGGTCCAGGCCGTGGAAGGGACAGCCCCGTTGTGCGTGATAGTTCGCCCGACAAGCACTTACTGCGCGCTGGCTTTGTGCCAGACGCGGGCCAATGCGGGGATGGCCGGCGGGGAGAGGGGGTCAGGGCAGGCTTTCCCGAGGGCCCAGGCAGCCTGGATCTGGAGGACCAGGGCGAGGCAGCCAGCCGGAGGAGGGTAGGAGATGCGGTGTGGGAGTGGCGTGTGCGGGGGGGCCCTGAGGAAGGAGGGGGTGTGTACAGTCTAGGGACGACTGGGACAGCAGAGGGTCTGGCTGAGACCGGTGAGGTGGGAAGAGCCAGATTCTAGGGGGCTTCGTAGGCCAAATTTCAGATTTTCGAGTTTAGTCTGGTGGCCACACGAAGCCTATTTCATGCCGTGCTCGACCCGGAACAGCCGCTTTTGGAGAGACGTTGACACAGAGTGAAGGGTGGGCCGGGCAGGTCTGCGGCCTGTGTCCCGGGTGGAGGGTTGGGCCCCCAGAGGAAGGAGGAGAGCGGTCCTGAATGAAGTGCGAAGGAAAGTTACGCGTGGAGGGGGAGGCTTGTTCTGCGTGGCTGCAGAAAGCAAACCTCAGGCTCGCAGGCGGGTGTTCGAGGTGGCAGGTCCTGCCTGAGCGTCTGAAATGGTTTCTGCGCCTCTAGAGTGTGGTCAGCCTTGGGGGACAGAGCTGGAGGCGGAGGAGGAGTGTGGGCAGCCACGGCGAGGCCGCCCGGGCAGGAAGCCTGTGCAGGGTGGGCAGGGCCTCCCGTGCTGTCTGCTGGGGCCTCCCTGGCTCCGCGGGCGAAATCTGCACCGTTCACTCCGCCTGCAGATGAGGCCACAGACTTGAAATTTGACCTCGTCTCTTGCTCTAATCTGAAAATTCATGAACGTGGAACTTTGCAAAAATATACTGGTAAAAAGAAGGAGGTCAGCACTTAGGATTCATGTTAAATACTGGAGGCTGTGCTTATTGGGTTCCTCAGACACGGAAGACCTGTGGCTGCCGGGGACCCACAACGGCTGTTCCCGGTGGGTCAGTCCGAGGCCGGCCGTCGGGGCTGGGGCAGGCCGGTGCGGGAGGGAAAGTTACCGTTCCGGGCCAAGAGGGAAAGAACACATCCCCAGAGAAACCCAAACTCTGGAATAACAGGCACTGGCTGCTCGCAGGATGTTTCTATTTCCCGTGTAAATTGGGAGCAAAGGCCAAAGAAAACAGAGGAATCGGGTGTCTCTTCTCCTGGGGGGAGCTCCGACGGCGTGGGCTCAGCCACGGTCACGGGCACGGTTCACGCTGTGGAGATAGAAACAGCGGGCAGGAGAGCCTCTGGCGGCGCAGCCCGCGGGCGGCTCTCAGGTGGGATCGGAAGGCCAGCCGGGTTGGAGATGGTGGTGGTGGGAGGGAGGAAGGGAGGGAGGGAGCGGGGTTCTCATTTGGAGTGGAAACAGCGGGCAGGGATTGTCTCCTCGCCGTCTGAACCTGGGGGATCCGGGGGAGCTGCTTGAGGGGCGGGTGACAGATCCCCGCACTCTGGGGCGGGGCAGTGCTGAAGGTCTCTGCTTCCGGGCGTGAGCGGGGACTGGGCGTCCCTCGTCCTGTCCCACACGTGGTCACCCACTGGCTTTGTTAAGGGGCGGGGACAGATTCTTTGTCCCGCCCCCATTCTCATGTAAATGTTCCTGGCTGTGCACACAGACTTCGCACGCGCAGGTCACAGGTGGGCCTCTCTGCTGCTGTTAAAGGAGACTCGTTTGTGAATACTCAGCCCCCCAGTGTTTCTCCCTGTGTGACCCCCGCCCTCATCTCGGCCGAGTTGCAGTGGAGATGGATGGCGAAGGTCTAGCGGATGAGGGAGCTGAGCTTCTGTGGGTGTTCTGGTTTTCTGTTTTTGGCTGTCGGCGGAAGGAAGGCTGAGCCAAGGAGTCTGCTTGCAGACCAACCGTAGACTGTTGCGTGACCTGTGGGGCGTGGCCTGTGGGGCGCGCGCCGGTCTCGGCGGGGAGGGCGGTTCGCGGGCAGCCGGGCCTCCCTCCGGGGGCCGTCTGCATGGACTGACGCGTCTCTCGCCGCTCTTTCCCCCGGGGACCGACGCAGCAAACCCAGGCCGCCAAGAGGAAACGCCCGGCATCCAGGCAGGCCCCGCCGGCGAAACGGAGGAGTGCGACGGCCTCTCTCCCAGCCAAGAAGACCGCTGCCAAAGAAACGCCAAGGGCTTTGAAGGGGAAGGCGAGGAAGGTGTTTCCTCCAAAGAGGTCTCCAGCCAGCGCGAGCGGCAGAGACCAGGAGCAGAAGCCGGGCGTTAAGACTTCGTCGCTGTTCAGAAACAACCCCGAGATTCCCCAGCTCCGCAGGTAGGCCCAGGCGCAGGCGGGCCCAGGCGCGGGCGCACTCCAGGGGCGGGAGGAGCAGCGGAGTGCGCTCCGCCGCCTTCTTCCCGGTGCGTTGGACCTGATGCTGGGTTTTGTTCGTCGCTTGCAGGCCCCTGGTGAAGCAGGTGCAAGAAAGCGTGTTTTCTTCAGAAGCTTTTCACGAGCTGGACCTCCACCCGCATTTAGTGAGTAGACCTGCCTGCGGTTCCCGCCGTCCGGGGCCCCGCGCGCCCGCCCGTGCGGGGGTCTGCAAGGCAGTTCTAGGGGGGAAACCCCAGTGTGGGTGGGGGTTTCTGCCCCGCGTGCCTGCCCGAGCTCGGTCTGTAAGACATGCCCCTGGGACGAGTCCACTGAGCTCCCGGCGCTGTTCACCGTGGTCCCGCCCCGCCCCCGCCCCTCTGCGGGAGGAACTCGAGCCCCTCCTCACCCCGTTCCCTTCAGGACCGGGCCCCCCTTAGAGGCTGTCAGTCAGCCGTGCCCTTGCCGGCAGGTGTGACGGGGGGGGGGGGCCTTCTGGAGGCAGGTGTCGTAGTGACGGCAGGAGGGAACTGAGCTGCTTCTTGCTGCAAAGGGATGTCTGTAGCGACAAAGAATTGAGGGAAAAAGACTCTTTTAGCGTGTGTTTTCTGCAAACAGATGAACGCTTCTCTTTGACCACGAGTGAGGTTCTGGGCCTGTTCGCGAGTGGGCAGAGGAAAGTGCGTGCTCCCTGAGGGGGTTCCTTTGCCCTCCCCTTCGGGGCGGGCTGCACCAGCCTCGAGCTGAGCAGGGCTTCTCGGCCTCGGGGCCGAGGACGTTTCGGGGCGGTCACTCAGTGTGGGACGGCGAGCAGTGTCCCAAGCCCCGATGCTCCTGGTGCCAGAAGCTTGCCCTCCTGCACCGTGACAGCCAGACTTGTCCCCGGGCTGCTGCGCCGGGGCCGAGCCACCCCAATGGAGAGCTGTCGGGTCTGGGTGGTCGGCTCTCTGCCGTGGGGGTTGTGGGCGCCAAATACATTTATTCCGGAGAAGGACGCAGAACAGCGTTTACGTTCCTCGTCTTCTCTTTCAGATCTCCACGATCCACGCGGTCTTGAACATGTCCCAGATGACCAGGTAAGAGGTGCAGGCCAGTCCCAGCTCTTTCTGGGACAGAAGTGGGCAAAGGCGTGGGGGATCTGGCCTGTGGCGGGCGGGCTGGGCCCAGCTGTGTGTCAGTGGCAGAGAGCAGTGCCAGACCCCGCCCGTCGAGGGCTTCACTGCGCACCCCCCACCCCCCAGTGGGGAGACCGGTCCCGCGCAGCTCTGCCCTCGCGGCCGGCCGCGCGGGGGCTGGTCCTCCTGGGATCTCTCTGCCGTCCTTCCTGAGAAGGCTCCGTCACAGACACGGGACTCACCGTGCCGTGTCTTAATGGTGAGGACCAGCGGTAGGACGGTGAATACTGGGAAGTGAAAATAAGAATGTCGAAGAGCAGAGTAAGCCCCCCACCGTGTTTTTTGTTCAGTTTAGTTTCCCAAACCTCAGCGATGCCTGTCCCTCCTTTGTTGCTAGTTTTCGCACGCACATGCAGACGCACGCCTGAGCGTGACCCTGCAGTGACCTCTCGGTCCTCTGGAGAGAGAGCATCAGTTCCTGGCTCTCCCGGGGGCTCCCGGCTTCCTCTTGCTCTTCTGCTCGGGAACCGCCCCCCCGGGAATGTTTCCGCAGCGTTTCCCGTCCCCTCCTACAGGAGGCAAGAGAGAGTGGCACATGCTCTCGCCGTAGCTCCAGGTCGTCGCCACGCCCGTCCCAACTCTGCTTACAGTCGGCACAGCGGGTGGGGTGGCCAGTCTGGGGCTCGCCTCCACACCACCAGCGGAGTGCCCGGACTCTGACGGAGGCTTTGTCCTTCTGCTCGTCAGAGGTTCCTCGGCGTCTTCACTTGCGCGCTTAGGCAACTTCTAAGGGGGCGGTTGGTAGACCAAAGTGTGGGGCCACTGCCCTCCGTGTGCCGTGTGTCTGCCCGCACATGCGAGTGCGTGCCGTGTCAAGATAACCATGTGTGTGTGTCTTCTCTCTCGTGCGTGGTCCCAGCGTGCAGAAGCAAAGCATCCCCGTGTTGCTGGAAGGCAGAGATGCCCTCGTGAGATCCCAGACGGGCTCAGGTCAGTCGTTGCCGAGTTTCTGCGTCCCCGCCCACGGGGCCCGGGCCACGGCCGTGCGGCACGCCGTGTGGTCAGGTGGCTGTGCGGGGGAGGAGAGGCCACGCTTGCTTTTGCTGCGAGCCCTGACCTAGTTCACACGGGGACAGTGAGGGGGCCGTGGGGGGAGCCACAGGCAGGAACCATCTGAAGAGGTCAGGTTCTGTTCTCCTCCTCGGAACCCGTCTCTGGGCTTTGCCGAGTCCCGTCAGCCATGAATGTTTTCTGGGTGATGAATGTTTTCTGGGCGCTAACCCCAGCTCTGACACGAGCACACACCGCTCGGACGCCCGTCACTTGCTCCAACATGGGACCCTGAACAACCTGCCATGCTCTTCTGGCCCTTGTACACCCGCCCAGTCTTGCAGTGCGCCCCGCCCCGCCAGCCTCCACTCAGGTGGGCGGGGCTGGGGCTGGGGTTCAAACAGCTCCTCCTGCAGCAGCTCCACAGAGGACGTCATCAACTTGACCCCCGAGCTCCTCTGAGAGGTCAGGGCCCTTCGGAGGAGGACCTGTTGCTCTGGAGACAGCCCCCCCCGTGGCCCTGTGGTGCAGCGCAGGGGCTGTGTGCCCGTTGGAGGGAGGAGGGGCTGAGGCTGCTGGGCTCGTGGGTGGAGGGGGCTGGGTGACGAGGAACGTGGCAGACGGTGAGCTCCGTTTCCGCCCGTCCTGGGCCGTGCGCCTGCTCTGCCCGTCCCCCTGCTCTGCCCTTCCCCAGACCGAGTGCCACCCGCAGGGGGCGGGGCCGCTGTCTCTCCCGGTCACCCACTGGGGCCCCGCTTTTACTTACTCTTTTCCTTTTTTAAAAGGTAAAACTCTCGCCTATTGCATCCCGGTGGTCCAGTCCCTTCAGGCGATGCAGACAAAAATACAGGTGAGTGTCGGACGTGGGTTTCCACTGCAGTTCAAGGCGCGTGCGAGCCCGTCCACCTGGAGCCCTGCTGTGACCCTGGGCCCGAAGGAGGCCATTGCCCCGGAGTGGTTCCCGCTCCTCTGTTTAACCCATTCGTCCCGCGGGCGCGCTGCCTCTGCAGCGGGCCTGGAGCGCATTTCTCCGCCGTCACGGCGGGTCGATCGGGGGCATCTGTTGGGTGCGCCCCAGGTGTCCACCTTGGTGCCGGATGCTTCACCTGTGCGCTCCTCTTGAATCTGCAACCACCTCGGTGCCTCCCAGTTGGTGGCGCCACTGTTACCCTGAGCTTTCCCGAAAAGTGGGGGGTGGGGAAGTGCAGTAGCCTAGCCAGACCCAGTGGCGAGCACGGGGCAGCTGCGTCCCCGCTCCGCCCTCTGGGGACGGTGGCCCCTCGTGAAGCACAGGCGTGGGACTCAGCGGCCAGGGAGCGAGTTTGGCAGCAGGGCCACCCGGTGTGAGCGTTCCCAGAACTTCCTTCAGGTGTGGAACGAGCAGTTGGCCCTGGGTTCTTTGTGTCCGGGGGGCCGGTTGCCCGCCACGCTCCACAGCATAGGTGTCATCTCTGAGCCTGGCCTGGAGTCCCCAGGGACGTCCCGGTCGGTCTCGGGAGGCGACGGCGAGGTCAGAACGGGGGTGAGGCGGCCCCCGAACAGGTGAGAAGAGCCCGCTGGCTCCCTTTGTCTCGGTCTGGACAGACACCGTCAGGCATGCACCGAGCCTGCCTGATACGTGAGTGCCAAAATAAATAACTCGAGTGTTGGATTAGAGCCCATAAACTAAAACAAATATCCGCGAGTCCAAACTGATAAGTGGAAATGACTGGATAAATGCAGGGGGAAGGGAGAGCCCTGTCTCGCGGCAGAATTCCAAAGGACGGACGTGGCGTGCGTGATGGGAGGAGAACCGTGGAGCTGGACCGACACGAACACGCGGCGGGGGGGGGCGGGGTGCTGCGGGTGCCACAGACACGGCCGTCACAGGCCGGGCCGAGGGCGCCACCGTGCGGAGGCGTGGGGTGTCGGCGTGGCTCCAGAGCGTCTCCCCACGGGGCGCTTCCTCGTCACGCGGGGAAGCAGCGGGAAGCCGGGCCGTCCCGTCCTACCTGGGCGGTCAGGGCCAGCGCCCCTGGAGCAGGTGTCCTCCCGTGCCCCCACGAGTCTCATGAGGACGCAGCTCCAAGGCACGCAGCCCAAGTTGGTCCCCAGCAGACAGCGGACACACCAGACCAAGGGACACTCTGCGGGGCCACTGGCCAGTGCTCTTCAAAGCTGTCAAGGTCGCAAAGGCACGGAGATGCCGAGCGCCCCCCCAGGTGAAGAAGAGGCAGAGGAGACGCGGCCGCAGGGCAGTGCACGGTCCTGCGCCGGGGCCCGGGGCGGGGCCGGGGCCGGCCGGGGGCTGTGCCTGAGGCCCGGGGGCTGGGGGCTGGTGGCCAGTGTCCGGGCAGGGCCAGTGTCCGGGCGGGGCCGGCGTCCCGTCCTGTGGTCCCGAGAGTCAGTGCCGTGTAAGGAGGCTGGGGGAGCACTGAGGGCGGTTCTTTGTGCTGTTTGTGAAGTTCTGTTTGTGAGTCTGAATTATTTGAGAGTAAGTTCACATTTTACTTAAGCTTTGTATAAGTAATTTTAATTCGATAAAACAGCAATCCTGCACAATGATGCCAACGGCAGAACCTTTGAGAGCCGTACTGCAGAGGTACCCTTCTCGGTCACTTGTGGACCCGTGTTCTCGCCCTGTCCACCGAGACAGGCAGGGGAGGAACCAGCACGTGCAGCGGGGCGCCAGCTCCGGTAGTGGCGGTAATCGGTGTGCGTACCTGTACGTGGAAAGGTGAGGAAGACTCTTGTCAAACCACTGGTGCTGGGTTCTCTGAAGTGGACCTGTGGGGATTTTATTTCCTGCGGGGGACCAACTTTTCCTCCCCGCAGGGCCCTCTCGGGGACAGAACACCCTCAACGGGGCTTCCTCAGCCACGTACTTGGAACAGGGGGAGAAACCGAGTATCCCAACAGTGCGGGGGGGTGGGGGGGGCCTCACCCACTTAGAGACTGCAGGAGAAGTTGCTAGTAGGTTCCAGTTGGTTCCGGGTGGGAGAGCTGGGGAGCGTGTGAGCCGCAGTGGGCCCTGCAGTCCTAGCCCGCCTGTCCCGGGGCGGGGCTGGCCGCCCGAGGGTGGGAGGGATGCGGTCAAGCTCCGCAGGGAGCCGGGTGTGATGAGAGGCAAACCCTCTCCCCCTCTGCGCCTTTCTCCCGCGGGGGAGGAGGGAGCCAGCCAGCCAGCGCCTGAGTAGGCTCTCGAAGGTCGCCTAGCGACTGACCGGCCTGCTCGGTGTCAGCTGTCACCGTCCGCGACACGCTCTTGTGGCCGGGGTGAAGGACAGCAATTTGATTCACTGATAGAGCCATTAACGAGCCAGGTTGTCGTTTTCATGGGCTCGAGTGCCTTTTACCATCTGTATGTAACCGCTCGTTCCATTCGGGGGTGAAATTCTCTGTAGAAGGAGTTTAACTCTTCAGCCTAATTAACTCCCTTGTTCAAGCAGTCGTCGGCAGAGGCCCGTGGAGCGCACGGTGAGGCGGTTTGGCCTGTACGAGCCGCGCATGGAGGCGGCGGCGGCGGCGGCAGACCCACGGCACCCAGCGGCGCCTGCAGTCCCCGTGGGTGGGAGGGCCGGGCCGCTCTGCGGTGTTTCCGCTCTGCCGGTGACTTGGGCTCTGATTTTTTTAACGTCACGTCCGTCCCCTCCACTCACTGCTGCCCTGCGAGGAACTGTTTCTTCTTCCTTCCCGCCTGGGCGGCAGCGCCGTTTCAGAGACCCTGAAGCGCCAGGGTCTCGTGACGCCGCACTGTGGCGCACCAGCGCGCCGGCCTGTTTGCCGCTCCTCGCCGGGGCCTCGGCGCGGCCTCCCCACGCTGGTGCTGCGCACGGGCGGCTCTGGTTGGGATCCCAGGTCCTTTTCTCCTCATGGGCAGATGTCTCTGATGCAGGGCATGAGAGCCATGGTCGTGGTGGAGCCTGCTGCTGGGTCTGTCCCTCGCCTCCCCGCCCACGGCGCTGCGGTCCGCCCCCTGTCTGCAAGCACTTGTGGGGGGGGGGGGCGATGATTTCAGGGCCCTTACCGGGTGCTTCCGTCCTGTACTGTTACTGCTGTCCCACTGCTGTTACTTTCAGGTGCAGTGCACGGGGCAAAAATTTAAACAGCACCCAAAAACCCATCGTGAAGAGCACGCCCTCCCCCGCCACCTGCCCCGAGTGCGACACGACATTTCTGTCGAGATGCAGTGGTCCTTGTCACCAGTCCTCTTGCCTGTCCCCCCAGGGGTACTCTGTTCCTAGGAAGCAAGTATGAACGTGTGTAGGTCCTCCTGCCCCTTCGGTTGGAGTTTTTATTCCTTTGATGCACAAACGCCCCTGCTACGCGTGGTGCCACGGGCCCGCTTTTGTCCACCTGACGTGCTCCGAGGCCAGTCGCTGGTCGTCAGCGCCTCGTTGTGCTCCCCTGTGTTTCGGGGGCTGCCTGGCCCCGACGGCGGTGGTCCAGTGGGTTGGGCGTCATCCCTGGTCAGGCACGCGTCAGGGTTCCGGGTTCGATCCCGGTCAGGGCACGGTCAGGAAGCAGCCCACGGATGTTTTCCCCTCACGTCGATGTTTCGATGTTTCCGTCCCTCTCCTCCCTCCCTCCTCCTCTCTCTAAGGGTAAATAAGCCACATCTTTTTAAAAAGCGAGCGGAGGGCTGCCTCGTACCCCACCGCGTGCAGCTGCAGGAAGTTACTGAGCCTCCCCCGCGTGGGTGGGGGTCACGGTTGGTTCCGTGTTTTGCTGCAAACCAAGGCTGTTCTGGACGTTCTGCATCTTGGAAAAGACAACTCGATGCACACGCACGAGTGCGTCTGTTAAAGTCCCGTGAGCGGAATCTGCATCCTTATTTGACAGATAACGGCCACGTTGGCCTTCTGAGGAGTTAGAGCGGGTTGCGTCCCCGCCGCAGTGCGCAGGAGTTCCCGCTCGCTCCTGCCGCTGTCGGCGCTCAGCCGTCCGTCCTGCTCGCCGTCGGGTCCCGCTTGTCCTCCGACAGGGACCCGCTGAACCGCAGTGCCAGCGTGACCCTCTCTCGGCGGAGGGCGGCCATCCTTCCCGCGTGCAGAAGCCGCAGTTTGAGCTCGTTCCTCCGTGGACCAGCTGCTCCCGCCCCTCCCCCACCCCCGGGCCGTCGGCGTCCCGCTCCCCATTCCCAGTGGAACGCGGGCGCTCTGCACAAGGCAGGGACGCCGCCCCTCCCCTCCGTGTGCGGCACGGTTTTCCCCCGTTGTCATCCAGCTCTTGGTTTTGTTTCGTTCTGCAGTCTAAAACTTTTATGTAGTACAATGCGTTGGTGCTTCATTGTTTCTGAGTTTTCTGTCATCTGTATATAAAAAGACCAACCTAATTCCAGCTTAGTTTTTTTCTAAAACGACCTCTCAATAAACCATTATTCCCTGATATAAAATGCCCCTTCCTTATCTCATTTCCTAAACTCTTCTCTGAATTTGATCCTGTTCTAGACTCTGTTTGCTATTGCCATCTCTGCGTGCCAGTATCAGTTTTTAAAAATTACCGCCACCTTAAATTGTTTTAGCATCTGATGTTTTTCAGGAGTGTCTTACTCCAGCACATTTATTTTTCCACGTGAACTTTGAAGTCATCTCGTGTAACTACATCTTATTTTATATGCACGTGTACTGTGCACATGTTATTTTATATGCGCGCACATACTGTGTTAAAGTTGCATTACAGGAAAGTTGCACTGCGTTTGGATTGGTTAGGGAGGATTAGCTTGTATGTAACACGACCCGAGAACAGGAAACATCTGTCCACTTACTTAAGTTTTATTGTATGCTGCTCAGAGTTACTTTAAAATTCTCATTATGTGGATTGTGTACATTTGGTATTTTTAGGTTTTATACATTTTTTAAGTTTATTCTTACCTATTTTTTTAAAAGACTTATTTATTTATGTATCTTTAGAGAGAAGGTAAGGGAGGGAGAGAAACATCAATTGGTCGCCTTTTGCAAACCCCCTTCCGGGGACCTGGCCCACAACCCAGGCATGTGCCCTGGCCGGGAATCAAACCAGCGACCCTTGGGTTCACAGACCAGGGCTCAATCCACTGAGCCACACCAGCCAACGCTGTTCTTACCCTTTTTGTTACTGTTAATAAGTGTGATTTTTTCCTTTGTATTTTCTCACTTTCTGTGTTACGGAAAGCAGTTGAGTTTTATATGTTAATTTTGTATTCGGTTAGTTGGTTGTCTTTTTTGTCATAGACCTTCAAGTGATTCTTTAAAGAATTTTTTTTAGGATAAAATATCTGCTAACAATGACAGTTTGACCTCCTAATTTTCAGACTTACATTCCTTTCTCTTGTCCAATTGCCCGGGCCCAAACCTCTGAACGGGGTTCTTGCCCCTTTCCTTCAATGACACCACATGTGACCCCCCCCCCCCCCGGGGCTGCCCGCCGGTCCTGCCGCCGGGACTCTCGGGGCCTTCACTCACGGTGCCGCTTCCCTTCTCTGCCCGCAGCGCAGCGACGGCCCCTACGCGCTGGTGCTCGTGCCCACGAGAGAGGTAAGCGGCTGTGCTCCTGGGGGGCGGGGTTCTCGGGGACATCCCGTGGAACTGCTGAGGGGCGTCGCCGGTGTCCCCTGCACGGCACCCACCGCAGTGCCCTTGCCTTTGCCCGGGAGCCGCCCGTCTGGGTCCTGACGAGAAGACGGCCGGCGCTCGCCCAGAGTCGCAGGGCAGGCTCCCTGTCACCTGAAAATGAGCCACACTGCAGGCGTCTGTCCTTTTAGGGAAAACTTAAATAACCACATTTTTGTACTTTCCCCCCCAACTTAATTCAAAAATAAAGGCAGTTGACTCTGAAAATGAACTTATTTTTTTTTAAAGAAGCTACTGTATCGAAAAGTGTTCCTAAAAGTTAAGCTCCTTGGTATTTTTCTCCTTTCTCGGTAGGAACCTTTTATCGGGTGTATTTTACCTGCCTGCAGAGGCAGTTTCAGGCCCGAGTCTCTGTCTTCCTCCCTCAGACGCCCACCGCTTCCCTGCAGCAGCACCCCCGCCCCCCGCCCCAGTGCAGAGGCCAGCAAAGCTGTGCAGACTTGCACAGCGGGCGCTCCCGTGGGCGCTTCGTGCATGCTGAGCACGTGGGGGCTGCGTGCGCGGGTCCGTGGGTGAAGGTGTCGTGGAGGGGGCGTTTGACGGTGGTTAACGGTGGAACCCACATTCCTCTCGTCTCCTCTGGGCTTGCTGGCTTCCTCCCTCCCGTGAGTGGAGGGACGGCCGCCTCTCGGCCGGCAGCCACTCGGCCGGCAGCCGCTGCTCCCGGCAGGCACGCCCCTGGGTGTTGTCATTGTCCGTGCCGCCTTTCTCGTTTCCGAGGGCGGACCCGGCCCGCTCCCACGTCGTCCTGGGGTGTCCCGGTTCACCCGCAGCTCGTACCCTCCTGCCGCGGGGCGCCGGGGTCAGGTCCACGCTCCCGCTCCCTGCGCCTCGGTGCTGCTCGCTGGCGCTCGTGGGCGCCTGGGCCAGCAGGGGGAGCACCGCGCTCGATTTTGGGGTCCGTCCGAGAGAGGGATACGGCTGGTCTGCGCACATTCCGCACACGCCGACGGGCCTCACGCAGGGGCGTGTGTCGCGTTGGTTCCGTGACGGGTTTTTTTTCTCGAGTCTTAACCTGAGGTCCGGTTGAACAGAACAGGAAGACGAGGTCTCGCTCACTCTGACTTTCTAATGTTCGCAGCTGGCTCTGCAAAGCTTCGACACGTTCCAGAAACTGCTCAAGGTAAGGCACGCCAGGAGTGGAGCTGCACCTTTTTTTCCTGGCTCTTTCCTCTTTGAGGAAAGAAAAATACACTGTAGCTTTTCCTCTATTTTCAAGGAGCTAGGGGTTACTCTAATTTCCCTTTTCTCCTCGGATGCTCTTCCCAGGGATAGCGTGTGGGCTTTTACTGATACAGACCTTAGTAACTACCTGTTTGGAGCTCACCAACATTGCTGGTGCTTTCTGGTGCTTAACGTTTTATCGGCGCGTCACGGGCACTAGCGAGTCACACACAGGTGTTCACCGTCGGGGGGTCGAGGGTATAGCCGCCGGCATGCGCTGCAGGTAGCGTCTGAGGAAGGGGAGAGGCTGCGGGGCGGAGCCGGAGCCGGCGGCCACCAAGCGGGCTCGAGACGCCGTCTCTCCCCTCCGTCATCGTCGGGGCGGGGAGCAGGGAGGGTGGTGCTCCTGCGTTCTGACCAAGAACAGAACAAGAAGGGCAGCGACTTACTGAAACGTGTGTTTGACTCGGGCTCCACGGGCAAGAGTGGGGAAGCCGCCTGAATAGTTCCAGAAGCTTTCACGTCGGCCTCCGTGGCGGGAGGTGGTCCCACGGCCCCACTGCAGGTTCTTGCTGCTAGTGGCCTGGGCGCGGCCGTGCCCGGGGACTCCCACCGCACAGAGGCCCTCGTGCAGCGGAGGACAGGGTGTGGGGCCGTCCGCGCACGGCGCGGGCTCGCGCTGATGCTGGTCTCGTGTCTCTCTAGCCATTTACCTGGATCGTGCCTGGAGTACTCATGGGCGGAGAGAAGAGGAAGTCCGAAAAGGCCAGGTACGGGGCGGTCTGTCCATCCACCCCCGCTGACGCTGTCTGCCCTGCCTTCCTGTGCGATACGACGCGGTCCCGCTAGACCCGGAGACGGCCCTGCCTCCGCCTGGGCTCCCCGGCCCCGTGGGCAGGGCGGAGCGGGCAGCGGGGAGCGGACCCGCTGGCCAGAGCTGCTTTTAAAATGCGGGTGAGCCTACAGGGGGGCTCCCTTCTGACGTGCTCATGACCTCCTTCACTGCATCCCCGCCCCCGCAGCCCCCCTTGTGTGGTGAGTGTCCCCCTTGACGACTTCCTGCTGGGAACGTTCGCAGTTTGGGGGTTGGTTGGGTTTTCATAGAAACAAGGGCGTGAGGTTACGCGATGCTTCGCCCCTTGCTCCTCACACCGCAGGACGAGGCCCCCCGTGTCTGTGACGCAGCTGGCGAGGGGGGTCGGGAGGACATGCTGGCGACGAGTCGGTTCCCCGTCGCCTGCGTTCTCCCTGGAAGCGTTGTGTGTCGCACCGCAGAGCCGTGCCTGGGAGGGACCCGCGGCCGTGTGCGCGGTTCCTCAATAGGGAGTAGATCCTGGAGCTGGACCCCAGATCCAGCCGTGAGTAGCAAGGGCGGCGAACAGTGGTCCTCCCGACGACGGGGGGGTTTTCTTTTCTTCCCGGTTCACGAAGCCTGGCGGCAGCCCACCCAGGGCCAGCATGCGTCTCTTTGGGCCGCTCAGCGAGGCTTCTTCCGTTGTCAAGGTCACCGTGTTCTACAGGTCCCGCCGAGACACCCAGTCTCCCGCGACGGGAGCAAAGACAATCGTGTGCCCTCCCCCCAGAAGGGCTTGCAGGGTTTCCAAGTCTCTCTGTCCTTCTCTAGGTCACAGGCTTGTGATCACACTGAACTGCAAGGGCAGCTAGAAAATGTGCTCAGCTAAAAACGGGAGGCTTTTATTACCCCGGAACGATGAGATAAAGGGTACTGGGGGCCATAGATTAGACTTAGTTCTGCCAGCCTGCGGGGCAAAACCAGGCCTACGCATGGAAGTTACGACAAGGATCCGGCACGAGGGGAAACATCCCGGGGCAGCCTGTGCAGGCGAGAGGTGCCCTGTCCTGGGAGCCCCCAGAACCGGGCTGGGCGGCTATGGAGCTGGAGACGCTGGGGAGGGTCTGTGGGCCCAGCACGGGCATCGGCCACACGGTAGAGGTGCTCTTCAGAGTGCCCTCATGGTTTTAGCGCCATCGCAGGCCTCGGCAGGTCTGTTCTGTGGAAGAGGGGAACTCCAGAGAAACATGAAAACTTTGTACTTCTGTATCCACTTGTCGTTGCGTCTGCCCTGATTTCCAGCCGTGGCGTGTGGGGGCTGGGCAGGATCAGCCCCCCGGCCCTCTCCCGCGCTTCCCACCGCCGCCGCCCAGTTCGATCTGCTTCCCTTCACAGTGTGTCATTTTCAAACAGACTCCGCAAGGGGATAAACATCCTTATCTCCACTCCTGGACGCCTGGTGGACCACATAAAGTCCACGAAGAACATTCACTTCAGTCGGGTCCAGTGGCTGGTTCTGGACGAGGCCGACAGGTGAGGCGGGTCTGGGGCCGCCAGAGTCCAGAGGAGAGGGCCGCCTGTGCCCCCGCTGACGCCTGAAGCCCCCGAGGGCCGCCTTCGGCCTTTGCGTGGACTGACACTGCTGCTCTGGGCACCGCAGGATCCTGGACCTGGGCTTTGAGAAGGATGTCGCTGTGATACTCAACGCCGTGAACGCCGAGAGCCAGAAGCGGCAGAACGTCCTGTTGTCGGCGACTCTCACCGACGGTGAGCGGGCGGGCAAGTCCTCTTGGCTCCGAGGGAGGAGGGCGGTGGGCACCGCTGCAGGGGCCGCGTCCTCACCTGGGCGGGGGGAGGCGTCTCGGGGGCTGGTGTCCCGTCCTGCAGCAGCCCCGCCCCCGCCCCCCTCGGCATCTTAGACTCTGCTGTGGCCCCCGGGCAAGAGTGGGCCCCAGATCCAGAGCCGCCAGTCAGGACGGTGCTGCTGGCGCTCGTGCCGGGCCGGGAGGAGGAGAGAGGCCGCCTGCCGCTCACCGGTGCTTTGGTGGGGTTCCTGCTGCCAGTGTGACCCGCGCAGAGCAGGGCCTGCGTCCTGACGACGGCGACGCCTCACCCAAGTGCCGGGTTTAGTGCGATCGACCGCCCGTTCCTCCCCTGGTGGTGTCGGACCTAAACACAGAGTGTCCTTTAAGCTCCTTGCTGCTGTTTTTCCTCCTCCAGAGACGGACGCAGACGGGAACGCCAGGGCTCGGGGAAGTGGCGGCACCGCCCGCCCCCGTCGCCCGAGTGGCAGGGCCTGTCTCAGTGACGGCACGGCTTCCGTGCCCGAGTCTGGTTCACAGTGCCGTCTCTGTCGTCACTCGCACGGGCTGGGTGCCGTTCGTGCAACGGATGGGCAGTTTCGAGTGTCCCCAGAGAGCGTTAATTTTAAGACGTAATACATGTTAAAGGGGTTCTGGGCCCCCAAAGTTTGGAACACGCCACACTTTGCCTCCTCCTGGAGGTCCGCAGTGCACCCACACGGCAGAGGTCCGGGGTGGGCCTGGCCAGCCCTGCGAGAGGCTCGTGAAGCCTCTTTATCAGGGTCTTCCTGGACCCCAGAACCCTTTCTGGGGGTGACGGGCACACGTCTGTTGGCGTCCCTTCTGAGGGTCTCCCACGGGTGCCAGCAGGTTGTCGGGCTGTTGGGTGCGACCAGTGGGGCTGCCCCACCGGGCCGCCGGGCAGGTTCTGCCTCTCGGAGATCCCGGGGGGGGGCTTCCCTAGGGTGCCGGGGCGTGGGGTGTGTCCCGGTGTGTCCAGGTGTGCTGTGGGACCCGTGCCACGGTGTGTGCCTGTCACCCATTTGCCACCTCCACTGTTCCCAAGGCGTGACACGGCTCGCCGACATCAGTTTGCACAACCCTGTCAGTATTTCCGTCCTGGATGAGGGCCACCGTCCGTCCAGCCCAGAGGACCACGCGGTCCTGGGAATGTGCGCCCCACAGCCCGGTGACGAGCTGGACGGCTTTGCCATCCCGGAGGGTCTGGACCAGTACGTGACGTTGGTCCCCAGCAAACTGAGGCTGGTCTGCCTGGCGGCCTTCCTCCTGCAGAAGTGCAAGGTAGGCCGGGGGCTCGCGCCGGCCCCCTCGCGGGGGCGGGCGGGGGGGGGGCCGCGTTGGGTGGAGAAGCATGTGCACGCGGTCTTCCAGCCGCTCGTGAGCGCGGGCGGTGGTCCCTGTGCGTCGGCGGTCCTGGGGTTGCGGGGGAGATCGGGGTCGCCGGCAGCCGCTGTATTCACCTTGGAGCCAGCCCGAAGTGCCTCTCCCGGGGCCGGCGTCGCGAGTGTGGCGGGTGGTGGGAACGCGCCGGAAGCCAGATGGGGCTAGAGGCCTGCGTTCACGGCTCTGAGAGGGGCCTGGTGCTTGTGCACCCGGTTGCCAGTTCCGTGTTACTGTCTCTGGTACGCGGGCGGGGGCGGGGGGGCGGAAGGGCCGGAGAGCGGGGCTCCCACCGGCACTGGGCCGGGTCCGAGCCGGGCCATGCGTGTGCGAGGCCGCGGCAGGCGAGGAGCAGCGCCGGCAGACGGCCTCTTGTGAAGCTGAAGCCTGCCCTCCGCGCTCACCGTGGGACCCTGGTCAAGGTCACAGCTGTCCTTGCCCTCGCCTGCAGCCTTTGTGGCGTGGGGCGTCGGTGTTGCTTCTGAAGAGGATTCACAGCTGCCTGCCACCCGTTTCCGAGCTGGGGCCGGCGTGCCTGGGTGTTTCAGAGGGAGGCTCGCTGTGGCGTCACCTCCTGAAAATGTGCGGTGGTCTCCCCTCCTTGTGCCGGTGCAGTTTGAAACGGACCAGAAGGTGATCGTCTTCTTCTCGAGCTGCGAGCTGGTGGAGTTCCACTACCACCTCTTCCTGCAGACCCTGCTGAGCGGCGTCGGGGCCCCCGTTCCAGGGCAGGTGCCATCTGCCTGCACGCGGTTCAGGTTCCTGCGTCTTCACGGCAGCATGGACCAGGAGGTGAGCGCCCTCGGGGCCAGCCCGGCGTCACCGGGGTGGGCGGCCCCCCCAGGAGCCTGCTGCACCCGCCTGCCCCTGGAGCCGCCTGCCCCTGGAGCCGTCCGGGCTGGTCCGCCCGCCGCTCCCGGGCCCGCTCGGCCGCCTCTGCCCCAGCCAGCTGTTGAGGCAGCAGAGCGCCGCTAAGTAGCTGGCACCAGGGAAGGGTTCTGCCTTTTCGGTGCCCAGTGTGTAATTAGGGCTTGATGTCTTCAAATTAAGAGCATTAATGGAGCTAAACTGTGGCTCCCATATGGCGCCGCTGCGCCGACTGCTGTTGCTGTCAGCAAGACGCAGCGCCCGCTCCGCGCTCGGCCGCGAGGCCGCGTGCCCCGCTCCCCGCTCTGCCCCCCTCCGAGTGTGCGTTCGTCCGCGGGGATGGAGCGTGGGCTCCTCATTTTAGGTTCGCGGCCGCCTAGGGTAGGGACCACCGCCGAGGGAGGCGGGCGGCAGAAGGCTCCGACTACGCAGGCAGTGTAGGAGCAGCGGGCTGCGGGCGGCCAGCGCGTCCTGGAGGACGGAGAGGCAGCCGTGGGGCGAGAGCCAGCGGGAGCCCGCTGAGAAGAGAGGGCAGAGGTTGTCCACGCCGGGCCCCTTCTGGTTCTGCGCTTTTGTTTGAATACCTCAGGAAAAGGGAGACTCGGAATTTGCTCAAGGCCATTCAAGGACACAGCTGCTTATTTGCCACAAGAATATGTAGGATTTCCTGAACATTCCAGCCTTGGTGAATTTTTATGAGCTCTTGGTTTTTACCTTCTGTGTCCCTGATTCAATTGACTTGTTCATTTCACATAAGGCAATGCCATTTATGGTGTTTCTTCTTCCTCTTTTTCTTTTAAAATCAGTTCCCTAATCCTCTGGGTCTGTTCTCACCAGAGGCGTTCTGCGGGGTAGTCTGGGGGCACGGAGGAGCTGGGCGTGCACTCTGCAGGGTCTGGGGGTTCGAACCGAGTGTGGAGGAGAGTCCGTAGTGAATTAGTTCAGCTCTCGTCACCGTGGGACCCTCTTCTGGGGGTTCACCGCTGTGCGCCGCGGGGCGGGGGGTGGGGCGGGCTGCCGTGTTCTAGGCCTGGCTGTGTGGCCGCTGGAGAGCATTTGACCCCTCTGCGCCTCGGCGTCTGTGTCTCCCAAGTGGAGCCGACCGTGGGGCTTCGTGTCGTGGCTGTGACGACTCACCGAGCTGACGCAGACGACGTGCTGGGGAGCGGGTGGCCCACGGACGTCCTCGGTGAGCGTGTTAGGGCCGTTGTCGTTGTGAGTTCTCCCCCAGGGCAGTTCAGGCTATTTAGTCTAGTCGTTGTCACCTCTTGCTTACGCTGTTGTTTCATTTACTAAGTAGCCTTCACGGCCCCCCCTGAGCTGAGGGGAAGGCGGGAGGGCGTGTCTGCGTTCCGTCTGGCCAACGCTGAGGTGGTGTGGTGTCCCAGAGCGAGCCGGGGCAGTCCCATCCCCTGTTCCCGGCCTCTCACCCTGGCCACTGGCCCAGGGGACCTGTGGTCTGCGTGCTTGCTGGGGCAGGACCTGTGGTCTGCCTGCGTGCTAGCTGGGGCGGGACCTGTGGTCTGCCTGCGTGCTGGCTGGGGCGGGACCTGTGGTCTGCCTGCGTGCTGGCTGGGGCGGGACCTGTGGTCTGCCTGCGCGCTCGCTGGGGCGGGACCTGTGGTCTCCCTGCGTGCTGGCTGGGGTGGGACCTCTGGTCTCCCTGCGTGCTGGCTGGGGCCCCGGGCACGTGATCAGAGAGAAGCTCCGGTTGCTGCGCGGCAGTCGCGGTGAAAGAGTTGGGTTTTGTCCTCACCCGGACCCGGAGACGTCACAGACAGGCTGTAGGGTGTGTCCCGGCTCTCCGGAACTTTTCTGACGTTATGATGCAGCCATTAGGAATGGCCCTTACGAAGCCGTCGTGCAGCAGACGGGACGAGGGCGGTGCCCTTGTGCGGGCCAGAGCGCCGACTCCGGGACATGGCCCCCAGGCTCGGACGCCGGTCCGGCCCTTTGCTGGGCGCGCCCCTCCCTTGGCCGGTTGCTCGGCTTTGTCAGCGGCTCGGAGGGTGGCTGGGCGTCAGGTGGGTGCAGCGTGTGGCGTGGAGGCCAGTGTCTGGTCGGCGTGTGGCAGTGCTCGGTGCACGTTGGCTGTCGTTGTCCGCTGTCCTCAGGTGTCCCTGGAGCCCCAGGTGTGTGACAGCACATGCGTGTGGAGAACCGAGGTGAGGTTCACTGCAGTGACCTGCTGGCTGTGCCAGAACGGAGGGAGAGACTGATTTGTTTTTTCCTCCGAATTTGTGATAATTTGATTTTCTGTCGCTGCTGACCGATGGACGTGGCCGAGCCTGAGCTGCTTGCAACACTGGGACGCAAACACACTCGTGGGTGCACTTTGTGAGTTTACACAGAAAGCCGTTCAGCGTGCACACCTTGCAGTCCAGTGAGGCTGCCCTCAGGGATTTTCCCAAAGGGAACCATTCCGCCCACGTGAGTCCCCTGCAGGGGGGTCCGTCGCAGCACTGCTGGTGGCGGTTAACCCTGGGCGGCGGCCGCGGCTGCCAGCGCTGGGGCACCGGCTGCGGAGACGGCAGCGCACCGTCCAGCTGGACACTGACGTCACGAGCGGGGCGTGGTCTGGGGGTTTCGTGTTGTCCTGGAGGACGTGGAGAGGTGTCCGAGTTCTGCTGAGACACTTACCTACGTCTGTGTGTGTGCGTGTGCACGTACACACCAATAAAGTGACAAGAGTGTGTTGGTGGTGTAAGCAGAGGGGGCCAGTTTTCAAGCGCCGCTCCTGGTGATTTGGCGCAGGAGGGGCCCGGAGACGGGGGCTCCCGGTGGTGGTGATGCGCTTTGGGCCGTGGGATGTTGCGTTTCCTTCCTTCAACTTAAATGCAGTTTTTCTACAGGTAAAATACACGGGGTTTATAACTTTTAGATCTTTTTACAAAATCGGTCTTGAACAAAACTGCCCCGCGGGAAAGGCGGTTCTTCCGTCGGTCCCCGAGGGTCCCCCGGCTCCTCCCGGGTGGCTGTGTCTGAAGGGTGCGCCCGGCCCGGCGCTCTGCCGCCTCACCGCCGTCCGGAAGCCCGGTCCTGGACGCACGCCAGACGTGCGTGCGCACGGCTCCCTCCTTCTCGGCGAAGCTGCTCTGCTCTGCGCCCCGACGCACAGCCCCAGCCGGAGGGAGGGGGGCAGTCACGGGAATGGGCGCCCGCCCCGCTGCCGCCGACCTGGGAGTTGTAAGGCGTCTCCTTGTTTTCCAGGAAAGAACGGAGGTGTTTCAGGAGTTCGCACATTCCGGCACGGGCGTCCTGTTCTGCACGGTACGTAGTGTGCTGACCTGAAGCATAAGCGTTCCTGTGATTGGTGGCTGCGGTTCTTCCCCTGACAGTTTGCCTCGGGGCCAGCCCCACGGAGAGAGAGCGGGGTCACCTCTCGGCCTGGCTGGCCCCTCTGCACGTCTGCTCTGTCACCTGCCTTGGTCCCAGGCGGCCGGCTGCCACCCTGTAGAAGGCTCAGCGACTCGGCAATTTGCTCTCTAATCGTGGCAGCTGTCGGCCTGAGAACGTGTGACTCTCGGTGATTCCCAGCCGCCCGGAACCTGTAAATTACAGCTATCGGGAGTGGTTAGAGCTGAGAAAGCCCTTCCGTGGTGAAGCCGCTCTCCTCCCTCCGCCCCCCCCCCCCCGTCCGTGAGCGGGGCGGGTGCGCTTGGCCGGTGTGTCCGCTGGCGTCTGACGCCGTCACAGGCCCTCCAGTTCCCCGGCCACGTACTCGGCCCCGGCTGTCTGGAGGGCTGCCTCCCCCTGTGCGAGTCTCGTGCGCTCTGTCGAGACGCCAGCACCGCGCCTTTGGTGGCCCCTTCTCTGGGGCCCCCTTCGCTGCCGCTGCCGCTCACTCCCCAGATGAAATGCCTTGTGGGTCTGTGCAGCTTCGTCCTGACTGGGGGCTGGAGAAAGCCCTGTCGGTGCGGTGACGCGGTGGCGCTGTGCACTGGGCGGTCCGGTGCCGGGTGGAGACGGAGGGCCAGCTCCTGGGACCCCTGGCGCGGCCTCTTCAGTGCAGCCGCTGCCCAGGGAGCTCTGGCTCTGTGTCCAGTGTTAAAGGCCGTCGAGGGTGTCTTCTCCCTCCAGTTAGAGTGTGTGTGGGCGAGTGCTGCTGCTTGCTTGTGTACAGTCGCACGTGAGGCGGCCTGCCGGCCCCGTTTGTCGCCGGGTGCTGGTGCTCCCGTGCGCGCGCAGCGAACAGGGGCCGTGCCGGCCGTGCGTGCTTGGAGCGGAGACCGGGCGCCGCTGGGACGCTGGCCGTCTGTGGGCCCCGCGTCCGCCCAGGGGCCCTTCCCTCCGTGAGGCCTGCCCCTGAGGCAGGGGCTCGCGTCTGTTCTAGAACCGTCTCGTGAAGGTGAGCCCACGTGGTCTGTTCGACAGAGAAATTTGTCGGAACTCCTCGTCGCGGAACCAGACCCCCTCCTGCCTCCACTGTCCCTGCTTCCCCCGTCTTCCTGCTCCTGCGGCCAGGCAGCGCCTCTCCCAGCTCCTTGAATGTGTCTGTCGTTCTTCCTTTTTCTGGTCTCGGGGCCTCGGTGCGTGGAGCTCCTCTGCGTGGGGCGCTGCACCCTGACTCTGACGCACCCCTGCGTAGGTCTCAGCTGGAAGCTCGTTTGTTTGGGAGATAGAGCCTTGGAGCCCAGCCACCCCCTCCTCGCCCCTCCCCACCCCCCCACCCCCATCAGGTGCTCCCCGGGGCCCCTGCAGTTCCCACTACGCCCGTCACACCTGGGCCCAGTGCCTTCCCCCAGGCCCTGAGCTCACGAAGACAGGGACTGCATCTCGTTGGCTGTTCCATCCTGTGTCTGGCGCAGGGCAGGCGTGCAGCAGGCACTCTGTGTTGTGGATGGCACGCGTGGGCAGGCAGGGCCCGAGAACTCAGTGTGGAGGCCGACCCGTGCGCACCCTTTTCTAGAGAGAGAGGGAGCTGAGGGTCACCTTCTCGTGAGTGTGGTGGGCTGTCTGAGGAGAGGGGGTTCTGGGGAGCGTGTGGTCTCTGCGAGACGGAAGGCGACGGGAACCTCGGTGCTGGGGTTTGGGTTGGGGTCGGGACAGAGCGTCCCACCTTTGACACTCAGGACGCTGGACTCGTCGTGCCTGGTGAGATGTTGTCACGCTTCTCGGTGTGCAGGTGCCACCCTGTGCTCCAGACACGGTGCGCTGCAGGTCCCCAGGAAGGCTCCAGGCCTTTGAGGTGCCGTGGTTTGGGTTTGCTTTGGGGTTTTTTGCAGTTCTTCAAGGAAGAAAAGACCCTTCTTTCTGAAGTGTAATTCTAGGCAAAACACAGCACGACTTTCCTGATTCTGTCTGGCTGTGCGGGCAAGCGGCTCCTGCTGGACGAAGCGCCCGGGCAAAGCATGGCCGCGCTGCCCTCCGGCCCGCCGTCCCGGGCGCCCTGTGGAACGCAGACCCTCCCTCGCCAGCAGGCTGTTTTCTGCGAAACCCCTGGGTGCCTGAGCGTTTGCCAAGGCCACGCCCATGGGACGGCCCTCTCCGGTGCCTTCTTGTCCTTCCTCCGGGGTGCGGGCTGCTGGATGGGTGCCTGGTGGGGCTCGCTCCTCTCGTTTCCCAGGCCGGACACCAGCACAGGCTCCCGGCGTGGGAGAGGCTCCTCACCCCCCGCCCCGTCCCTTCGGCTGCGGCCATGTCGGTCTGCTTGGGCCAGGCCTGGGTGGGGGGGTGTCGCCAGGCTGTGTTCTTCTGAGCACCCTGTTGCTTGCCAGCTCCTCTGAGCGTGCTCCAGGAGCCTCCTTAGTGTTAATGAGGAACGCGGGCCAGGTCAGGACACGGCAGATGGGGAACTGGCGTCTTCGGGGAAGGGGGGGTCACGTTGTCAGTCGTCGCCCGGCGATTTCTCCTTCCGGTCCCCATCGCTTTGCCGTTGTGACTCACCGTCCCCCGGCCCTTGAACGAGGCCAGGAGGTGGGACTTGGGACATGCTGAGCATTACCGTGTCACCACACACGAGCCCACAGCTACGCCGGTCGCTTTGCTGCTAGAAAAATCCCTCTGCCCCCCACCTTCCTCTCTGCACCCCAGCCTCCTCCCTGCTCCCTTGTTACTAGGAACAGGGAAGAGTGTATGTGTGTGTGTGTTCGTTCGTTTTGATTAGAAGCGTGAGAACAAGGATCTTTTAATTGCACCGAAATCGTTCGGGATCTGGTCCCTGGCTGTGTGGGCTGTGGGTTCTCAGTGAGCACGTGACCGCGGTCACTCAGCAGTCTCACCACCGGGAGGAGGACAGGAGGGACCCGCCCATCTAAAACGTAGTTGGTGTCCTCCAGAAAATAGACCTAAGACGCAGCCACGCGGAGGAGGGAGTTAGTGATGAGCAGGAAGGAGTCGTTGGGAAGTTGCACGTCCACTTTCCCGGTGGAATTGAGGAGTCCGACAGGAGACGCCGAGTTGTCGACGTTACTCTCTCTTGTCGATGGTGAAGGGCTCGCCCCGCGCCGGAGGGAGGGGACGTGGCGGTCAGGCACACGGTCCCGTCGCGGAGCTGACACAGAGGGCGGCCGCCGGCAGCCGGGAGAGGGGCGTTGCCAAGCCGCCTCCGGCCTCGGGTCGGCCGTTCTGCTGGTGTGCGTGCCGCTCCCTGGTGCCCCCGGGTGCCCGGAGCAGGGGACTCCCCCCCCCCCCCCCGGGGCTGGCTGTCCTGGAACAGCGTGCCCGCCCGGCCCTCGTGTTCTCTTGCAGAAGCCACCTAGGTCACGTGTGCTGCCAGCCCCCACCGTCCGTTCCCCCCCTTTGACGTGTGCTGCTGTGCCTGCAGCCCCTCATCTCCCCCTCCTGGGCAGTCCCCGCCACGCCGGGCGGCCGGAGGCAGAGGCGGCAGCCGCAGGGGCCACGAGGGCGTCCGTCCGCCCCCAGAGCCGGCGGAGGCTTTCTCGGTCTTCTCCGCGGCCTGTTGTTCCGGAAAAGTTTGCCTCTCCCGCTTTAGCTCGTCGTGTTAATGGCAAGATCACTGGGAGGCTGTTGGCTGTTTACTCCGTTGCGCTAACTCATGTTGCCAGTTTTTTGGCGGCTCCAGCCAAGAGCTCTCGCCGCTGACAGCTCCTGCACTCGCTCCTTCCTCCTCCGCGTGCGCAGCCCAATCTGTCACCCGGACGACAGGGGCCCGCACCCCGCTGATGGCTCTCCACGCGCGGCGGTAATGACTTCTGGCAGGCGGGGGCGGCGGCGGCGCCGGCGAGTGTGCTGCGTCCCTTCCTCGGGGCGCCGGCAGGGCCCCTCTCCCCGTTCGCGAAAGCACTTTGTGAGGTTCTCGGGTAAATAAATGAGTCATTTTAATCCAACTGACAGGCTGGCACCTGAGCAGGCTGCCTTCCATCTGCACTGCTCGGGCTGGCGGGGCGGCCCGTCGCCAGGCCGGGCCTCGCGGCCCCGCCGCCGCGTCTCTCAGAGCCGACTCCAGCGGCTCTTCTGCCCTGATTGCTAGGTTCAAGGGCCGGGGCGCGGCGGGTCTGGGTTCTGGGAGCGGGCGGGACCGAGGTCCGTGCGGACTGCTCGGCAGGTCGGGCCGGCGCTCTGCCCGCGGCCTCTGTTGCTGGGAGCCCGAGGTGAGCGGGGAGGAGAGCGACGGGGCTTCTATAGCACCGCCCGGTCTCCGCCGTCGGGAAACGGAGGGTTCGGCTTTACGATTCTCAGTGCCCCTGTACGCTGTCCCCCCTGGTCTTCGTGGTGACCTCAGGAGGTCGACCGGTGGGTGTCAGAGCCAGCGTTGGGGGTAAACCGGGGCTCGGAGCGCCGAGCTGACGTGCCCGGGTCCCGTGGCTGTGAAGAGACACTGAAGTCCAGCGCGCTCTGCTCCGAGACCCGCAAGGGCGTCTCTCTCCCGCTCTCTGCGGCGGCCTGGGCTCAGGGTAGAAAGACGCGCTTAAAGAGATAGCTGGCTCGAGTCTGAGCACCGGCTGGCCCGCGGTGAGGTCCCCCCACCCCCGCCAGCACGAGAGTGGGAGACAGGGAGGACCGGGTGGGAGGGAGAACCTTGACCGGCCCCGGGAGAGGCGGCGGGCGTCGCCCTGACCCCCCGTCGCAGCGGGTCGGCGCTGGGTGGGCCTCGCGAGCGCCGTGCTTGGTCCCAGAGCCCGGGGTCGAGCTCACTGAGCCCGCGAGCGCCCCGTTTTCCGCAGAGCCTGCTCGTCTGGGGAGCTCAGGCAGCCGTCCTGGGCCTGCGTCTCCCACTGCGGAGCACGCCTGCAAAGCAGGTCGTTCCCTGACGGGAACGTAGCAGCTCGGAGAGCCTGTGGGGCCTCTGACGCCGGCTGTGGTCAGTGTGGAAAGCAGTTCCCGTGCCCCCTCCGGTAGAAAACTCCAGGAGTGTCCGCAGAGGCACAGCGTGGGGCGGCAGCCTCATCCGAAAACACCTCGTGGGTGCCCGGCACCGCAGGACGTAAACCGCGTGCCTGACACTCCGTGACGGCAGCCCAGGCACTGGGGGACGGCGAGCAGGCCGTTCAGCGTGGCCAGTGACGGCCGGCGAAGCCTGCCCTGCCGCAGCGGCCCTGGGCCGGCTCGGTGCTGCCTCAGAGCCCGGGGTCTTCGGGGCGACTGTTTCAACGTGCTTCCTGCAGGAGCTGCATGGGGGTACTGGTTTTAAAAACACTGGTTCCCCTTAGGACTCCCCCGTGGTACTGCAGAGTGGGGGAGGGGCGGGCCGTTCTGAGAGAGGACTGACTGCCTGCCCGCTCTCCAGTGGAGGGAAACCGCGCCGGGTGGGGAGCCCTACTCTGCGGGCACCCAGATGAAGCAGAGGCAGGGAGGCAGTGCCCGCAAACGCCGAAGCTGTGAGGCAGACGGTTTCGGGAGCAGCCTCGAAGTCTCCTGCCCCCATCTGCTTACTCAGGACAGAAGGCGAGAGGCGCCCGCAGGTGAGGAGAGCGGGTGGGGCGCTCTCGCAGGCGACCACCGCACACGGTGTCCTCAGCGCAGCACAGACCGCTCTGGCGTGTCTCCCCGAGTCACGTGCGGGAAGCACACACCGCCCTGCCGCCGTGTCGACCGCCGGAACGCTTCCCGCGGAACCTACCGGGAGGAAGCAGAGAAATGCAGGTTCTGGATGTTCCGGACACCGGGAGCCTCCGAAGTGGGTCATTAACTAAAGAAGAACAGGCGCAGGGCAGGGGTGTCGTCGTAGATGGGGGGGTCCGAGCGCTGCGGCGAGCCCAGCGCGCGGTCTGCGGTTCAGCCCTGGGTGGGGAGGGGCGGCAGGGTCCCGGGAGAGGCTGGGGCACGGCCGGCGGTCCGGAAGCGGGGCTCCCCGGCGCCGGCTCTTTCAGGGGTGGCAGCGGTGCTGTGGCCCCGTGGAGGAGTGCCCTCCGACTGAGGGGCGCGTGCCGCGGTGTTTAGGGACAGGCGTCACGGTGCTTCTGACCTGCGCGCTCCGGGGTCTGGCAGGACGGGTGCGTGGAGGGAGGGGGGAGTGGGTGTCCCCCGCAGCTGTCGGCGAGTCCAGGTGAAGGCGGGCAGGTGCTCCTGCGACTCTCCCAGCTTTCCTGTGGGTTTACGTTTTCCTGGATAGGAACTGGAGGGGAAACGTGTATTCATTGTTAAAGGGAAACAGACAGAACAGCTAGAGGAATGCAAAGCGAGCGGCGAGGCCCGCCCAGGCCCCTCTGCCTGGAGAGCTCCGTGGAGTCCTGGGACCCCGCCTCCAGGTGGGGGCGCCTCCCGCCCCCCTCGGGCTGGCGTCCTTCCCTTCGAGTTTGCCCTTTGGGTCTCCTTTTTTCCCCTTGGCTTTTCCGGTGGGAGAAACCAGACCTTTTGTCCACTCTCTGCGTTTCCCTAGTTGGGTCCTCCAGGGGGCGTGTAACCTGGCCCTCCCCCCCCCATTTCCTGTGCCCCAGTCGATGGGCGGAGACCCTCAGTGAGCCCCGGCTCCGGGGTTGTGCGGGCCAGAATGGGCGGCCTGTGCTCCCTGCTGCCCACCATCTGCAGGCGTTTACGCAGACTCCGTCAAGGTCACACGGGTCCATTGCAGGAAGTCTGACTTCCATCCCCTCCCCCCTTTCTCTTCCTTCTCCTCCAGGGTAACCCATTTTAAAAACTTTTGGGTTTTCCTTGTATTATTTCTCTAAGAAATACGGGCAAGCGTACCTTATTTCCCTCATTTGTTGCACCGAAATGCACTGCACACGCCCAGGAGTTTTGCTGGGGAGCCTCCACGCCGTTCCATCTGAGTCCTTGTTCCCTCCCGGCTGCGCGGCGCCCTGGGATGTGGGGAGGGCGTCCCTACCGTCGCCTGCGCTGTGTCCCGCCAGACGCCGGGGTTTGCGCCAGACCGCCGACGTGAACAGCCCTGCACGTGTGTCGTTCTGTGTTTTTGCCCGTGCGTCCTCGGGGTGCTCTGGGTCAGAGGGCAGGCGCACGCACAGTCTCGCCGGGTGCCCCCGGCCCCCAGCACGGGGGCTGTGCTGTGCCACACCCCCACCGCAGAGCACGAGGGCACGGCGTCCCTCTGCCGCCAGGACGGTGCGCTGGCGCCCGGTCGTCGCTCCGAAGGCCCGTCGGGGGGAGGTGCAGGCGGGGCGCCCCACCGGGGTCGGTGTGCGGAAGTGCCCGGCACCTGTCGGCCGGGGGCGCTCGTGTTACGGCTGTGCGCGTGACGGTGAGTGGCATGTGTGCGCTTGCCCCCGAGACCAGGAGACCCCCGCTCTCTGCCCTCCGCCGGGGTGACCGGAGAGCAGGAGGGCTCCGCTCCACAGGTGGTGGGCGGCCCTGAGAAGGGAAACCGAGTCTCCGCTGCCTTTGCAGTCTCGCCTGCCCGAGCCGGGACCTCGCCGGCCAGGTCTTTGGCCGCGCCCTGAGTTAGCCGTTGGAGGGGCGGGGCGTTGCCTGACCCCTCTGACCCCTGCTCCTCTCCGAGGCTGGTCAGCAGAGGCCCCGGGAAACAGCCTGCAGCTCACCTCCGAGAGGGAGTGCCTGGGGCGGTCTCGCAGAAGCCCACCCCAAAGCCCGGTCTTCGTGAGTTTGCGCACAGGTGCGGGATGGGGGTGGTGACCCACAAGTGCGTGCGCCATCGGGGGGGTTTCAAGTGACGCGTAAAAGTAGCAGGGCTCGCTGAAGTCCTGAGAGAGTTCTTCCCAGGCGCGACGGAGGATGAGCATGCGAGGTCCTGGGCTCCCTGCAGGTGGCGCTCTCTTGGGGAAGTGGTTGTGCCTCACCAGCGGGTTCCTAGCACGTAGCCCCCCGAGTCCGGAGGCAGGACTTCAAACCGCAAACACGTGGGCGGCCTCCCGGGGTCGTGTGCAGACGTGTGCGTGCGAGAGCGTGCACATGGGTGCGGGCGGGCCCTCGGTGTTTGCCTCAGATTACCAGTGGGTCCGTGACCCCAGATGGTTCAGAGACGCGGTCCTAAGCCATGTTTCTTCTGTTTTGAAGGACGTTGCGGCTCGGGGCCTGGACCTCCCTCAAGTCACGTGGATCGTTCAGGTAACTCTTTAGTGGTTACGGTGTGAGCTCGAGACAGGAGCTCGTGGGCGCGCGTGGGTGTGTTGGCCTTAAGTGGAATAATTATCATTACCCTCCTGGGTGTTGCCCTGGTAACCAGGCAGCAACCAGCCTTATCTGCACAGTTCTCCCAACATCTTTCCTTAACCCAGCCCCCCAACTGCTGAGCCCCCCCAGCTGCTGCACGCCCCCCAGCTGCTGCAGCCAAGCAACCAGGCTGCAGTCGGGGCGGGGCGGTGGGTGGGGGGCGGGCCCCAGGCTCCCGGACCAGGGCCCGTCACACGCGAAGTTGCAGCAATCTGAAAATAACAGGAGGCGCCCGGGGCCCCCAGGGGGCCTCGTTGTGTCCGGGAGGAGGCGGCCCAGCTGCCCCGAGAGCCGGGTCCTGCCCATGGACCTGCAGGGGGTGCGGTTCAGTCCCTGGCAGCGTCTTACGCTCCCCTCCAGCCTCGGACGCTTTGCCAGAGGGCACAGGTGTCAGCGCCCGAGCCAACTGCTCTCCGTCCTGTTGTTCTGGTTAGTCTGCAGAGGGGTGTTTTTGAGGCCTTGTGGGCGGGGGGGGACACGTGCCCTGTTTGCGTGAGTCACGGTTTATTCACGTCTTAGCGCGACCACATGCCTGCCGGTGGCTGGGGACGCCGGCCTGCTCCCGCAGACGGGCGCTTTGCAGCCGGAGGCGTCGTGTCCCCTTTCCTGCCGGCCACGGAGCCAGCGAAAGACCAGGAGGCAGGGGTGGTTCAGTGTGTGGGAGGCTGGACACACGGACTCGGGCCCCCCACACACTGCGTTCTTCGGGGCCCCCTGGGTGTTGGTTCGTGTAGCAGCAGAGGGGGGACAAAGGAGGAAGGACCACACGGTCAGTCAGTTTCCACGATGACAGAGTCGTCACCGTAGACATGCTCTAGTCCTGTGTGGGGCGCATTCTGCGGAGTCCTTGAGTCGACCTCTGCCCTGAGTCAGGATGCTGCCCATGGGGGCAGGGGCATGTCCCTGTGTGGGGGCAGCCCCGCTCCCGGGGGGCTGGCGGAGCTGCAGCTGGGCGGTGGGCGCCAGCTCCTGGGGGCCCAGCCTCGGAGCCGACCTCTGGTCAGAGCTTTCGGCCCCTCGCTCCGGACCCCGTCCAGCGTCCTCGGTGGCCTCATCCTCACTGCTTGCCTGCCGGGGAAGTGGGCCCAGGGCGTGTGGTCATCTGCAGAGGCTCACCCCTGCCCGCCTGCGTTTCCACCCCGCGCAGTCACCGCGGCGAGAAGCTGCCGATGGAAGAGGAAGAGACCTGTGGAGAAGTAAAATTAAAAGGGGGGTATCGGGCCGGGCAGGCGCCTCGTCTGTCTGAAACTGGCCGCCGCCCCGACCGGCGCGCCGGGGCCCTGCTGTCTCCCTCCAGTGCGGCCGCCGGGGCTGAGGGCTGAGTGCCTTCCCCTTGCGACTGCGCCGGGGTAACCATGGCGCCAGGATCTCGCGCCGGGATACCTGGAGGCAGGTGAGGGGATCGCACTTCCAATTAACGGCGGTCCCCTGATCAGCGAACGCCCTCATTTCTGTTGCCCTTTCTAGTACAACGCCCCGTCTTCGCCGGCGGAGTACATCCACCGCGTCGGGAGGACCGCCCGCATCGGCTGCCGCGGGAGCAGCCTGCTCGTCCTGGCGCCTTCGGAGGCGGAGTATGTCAGCTCGCTGGCTGCTCACAAAATCAAGTGAGTCAGAAACCCGAGCGGGGCCGCGGCTGATCTCGCCTAATTAACTTTCTGTCGCTTCTTGTGCCGGCGGGGCCTTGTAAGCTGACGGAGAGCCATTAACCCTTGTGATCCCCAGATGAGTCCCGGAATAGCCGGTGGCAGAAGCGCAAGCCCTCGGTGCCGCCCGCACTGACAGGCCTCACTGCGGGCGAGACCAAGGCGCGGGGTGGCCTGTCGCCGCGCCCGCTCCTGGCCGACGGGCCCGCGTGGCCTCTCGTGCACAGCCGGCTGCTTGAAGGGCTCTTCTGTTCGTGGTTGCTCTTTCTTGCCATTATTGCTTCGTCCCTTGGGAGTTGTTTTGCCTTTGGAAAAGTAATGCTTCCTTACTCCTCACGCAGCCCCCCTTCCCGCAGGAGAGCACCCCCGGGGAAGCCGCGGGGACCTGCTGGAGTGCGCCCCCGCACGCCCAGGTGGCAGCGCCTCCTGGCCCCCCGCACAGAGCCCCGGTCCCAGCCCTGGCCTCGCTTGGGAAAGACAGAGAAAGCAGACAGGGCAGCGCCTCGGGTTACAGTGCGAGCAGAGAGGAGCCGCAGGGGCCCCAGGAAATGAACGTGTTGTGTCGCGTTTTCCACAGACGCTCTGGCACCTGGTGTAACAAGCTCTAGCGGTGGGCTTGTGAGGGCAGTGGTGGTTCACACTGGTGCGGGCTGGAGAACTTGTGCTCAGACGCAGCACAGCGGTGCGTCAAGTTCTGGGAGCCACTGGGGGGCCGCGTCTGCCCCGAGGGCCGCTCAGGTGCCCCTAGGACCTGCGCCGCGACACCAGCACGGGACCCTGCTCTGCGGCTGGACTCGGGGAGTCACCTCCCCGGGCTCCCCTCGCCCGGGCCGTGCCCTAGGTAAAGCACCCGGTGGCGTCCCCCGGCTCACGGGGAAACTGTTGCATTCCACCCCTGAGCCTGCGCGGGGGCCCCAGGACCCAGGGCAGGCCGCCCGCTGGCGGGGGTGGGTGCACGGGGCCGCCCCACCAGCACCTGCAGGGCTTTCTCTCACCCCGCCCGACACTCCCGGGGCTGCTGGCGGGAACTTCCAGGGACCGCGGCTTACTCAGGAAACGGGCCTGACCTCCTCGTGTGGCAGGGAGGGGTGGCAGGGACCCTCTCCTGAGCCTGGTCAGTTTCAAATGCACTAAATTCAGGGTGGTCTGCGGCTTCCTGTTGTTTCATGTGCCTCCGCTTAACACAGTTTTTCCGTGGAAGGGTGGTTCTTCTTGTTTCGGGAAGGCATGCATGTTTCATCTTAGTTCCGAGAGCAACCGCATGTCGACCAGTCGCTTGTCACCGACAGCTGCTCCTCTGGCCGGCCTCGCTGCAGCCCTGTGCGTGTCTGGGCCGGCGCCCCGCCAGTCCGGTCCCCAGAAGTCCGGGGGGTTGGCGTGGAGACCCAGGGACAGAGCCCGTTCCCTGCACCCACACAGGCGGGGGGCGGTCTGTCCGGGAACCGCGTGCCTGCGGGGGGCGTCCTCAGCGGTGTGCGTTGCTGCCTTCCGGCAGGAAACTCAACCGCCGCACTGAGCAGCCTGGCGCTCACCCCGTGCCCTTCCCTGCCGGCGTCCTGAACCTGCCGGCATGAACCTGCCGGCAAGTTCACGTTCTCCCTCCGTCCCGTCCCAGCGCTCGGGGCGTCCTCCCGTGCTGACTGGCTCCACGCGCGCCCAGAACGGCGCGTGGCAGCAGGGGGCGGAGGGCGACGACTACCCAGTGCCAGTCAGCAGCATCGGCACCTGCCTCTCTCTGCTCCTGCGGATTTTCCGAGGCAGGCTCGGGCTGATGGCTCTGACAGGCCACCTGCGCCCCCAGACCCGACGAGGGAAAGTAACGCTTAGCTCCAGCGTGATTCGTCAGTGAGCCGAGCGTATTTTAAAGACACAGAAGTACGGTCGCCCCGTGCGACGGTCTCACCTGGAAAACAGCAGGCCGGCAGCATTCACGGGGATGCAGCTCCTCGTGCGCGTTCCGAGGACCACTCGGTGGCGCCAGGGACTCCTCGGGCTTGGAGGGGGCGCCCAGAAGGGGGGAGACGGTGCCCTGACAGGGCGAGTGTGCTCTGTGGGAGGAGGCGACGGGGGCGGGGGGGGGGCGTCCTGTGGGAGCCCAGCCTCGCTGCCTTCTGCCCCCAGGGTCCGCCCTGGACTGCCGCCCGCTGCCCGGCTCGGGTGCCCGACCCCAGCAGGCGCCGGGGCCGAGTCCGCTCAAGGTGCAGGCGTGGGCTGCCGGTGTCCCTTCGAGGACGTGTGAAAGCACAGACTGTTCGTCGTGACTTAAGGCCCAGAAAGTGCATCTCGTGAGAACTAACGGCAGAGTAAGACGTGAACGTCTGGGATCTGGAAGGCACCCCTGAATATTTAGGGGGGAAAAAGGCAGAGCGTGTGTGTGTGTGTGTGTGGTGCCCGGACGCACCCCTGGGAGCGGGCGGCAGGGTGCGGGGGCGGCTGACGAGTCGCAGGGAAGGTCCAGCGGCAGCTGGGGCCCTGGGCAGCGCAGCACCGCCCGCCTCGCACCCGCGCCGTGCGCCTCGCCCCGCGGGCTCAGCCCCGCGGCCAGGGCAGGAGACGGAGTCGGGCCGCCGCCGCCTCCACGTGAAGACTCAGAACTTTGCTTCCGCGTCCCTCTGACTCCTGGGTACTCGCCACCCCCTCCACCCTCCCCGCGTTTGAGTGTCTTCCTGATGAAAGCCATCACTGGTTTATTAAAATGTAAATGCCTCATCGGAGCGTGTTTCTTAGATCCGGCACGAGACAGCTCCCCGAGTTCCGCTCTTCCTTCATCTCTTGGTGCGCTGGGCGGTTCCTGTCTGGGTGGGGCCGCGGCCGGGTGGAGGGGGCTCACTTTGTTGTCCCCCGAAGCCAGGCTCGCTCAGGGCGGGGGCGGGCCCTCTGCCGCCCCGAGTCGCGGGAGCCCCCCCTCGGCCCGTCCACGCAGGGTGGGTGGTCCCGGCCTCCCCTCGGGGACACCCGCCCCCGAGGGAACCGGCCTCCCTGACGCGTGTGGTCCTCCGGGCCCCCAACTGCGAGTCGCATCCTTCCCTTCCCTCCTCCCTGCCCCAGATCCGACCCCGAGTTCTGGTTCCTTGTACTTTCACGTTTCCCCTGTGTTTTTCCTCAAGAGAAAAGGGGGTGGATGGAGGCAAGTCGGGGGGAGAAGGGAAGGATGGGGCTGGGCTGTGTGTTCTCCTCGTTGGGGCACGCAGGCGTCAGGAGGGCCAGGCGGGTTCAGTGCCGCCACCCTCCTCTCTGGGAGGGAAAACACTTCCCCCAGGAACCCTGAGCGGCCCCCAGCGCGAACTCCGCCTTCCCCTGCGGCTCTCGCCGCCGCACAAAGGTTTCCGGTCCCTGCGGGCCGGCGCTGCAGGCAGAGGGGCTGGGGGCCTGCAGGGCCTGGTGACACATCTCGGTGGATGAGTGGCTGTTACAGACGTGACGTGCTCGTTCAGGGCTGCAGCATGGTGACCTTCCGGGGAGCAGGGGGACAGGGGGAGCTGCCTCGTCCCACGTGAGAGACGGCCGCTCCTGCCTTGACCTGCCGTCGCGCTCTAGCAGGCAGCACGCGAGAAGACCGTTTATCTGTCTCCCTACGGTCTGCCGTCGCCCCCTGCCCCTGCACCCCCCGACTCTCCCCTGCCCCTCCTCCCTGGGAAGTGTTTCCCGCCACTCCCGTCCCCGTGGTCTCTGACACACAACTGTGTGCACTCCGGCTGTCACAGGCTGTGGCCGCTGAAGGGGCCGAAGGGCGGGCTCCCGGGTGCCGCCGCTATAGGTGGGGCAGCGGCTCTGCTGGCCCCTGCTGGCTCCGGCCACTCCCGGCCTGGACTCTGCTCTCAGCCACTGGCATGCGGCTCTGGCTCCGGTAGGGAACACCATTCCGCGGCCTTAGGAGCGAAGAGACGGGTCAAGGACAGCCCTCGGGGGTCGCTGGGAGAGGGTTCTGGCGCGTGCACGGTGGGGCGAGTCCTGGGGGGGGCCTTCGCTGGCCCTGCATCCCCGCAGTTCGGGGTCTTGAGTGCCCCCAGCCTGTTCAAGCCAAAAAGCAAAGGGGACTACCTGAAACGTTTTCAGTGACGGTTCAGCGTCTCCTGCTCCAGTCCGTGTAACAGATCAGTGATAACCAGGCCCGCTTGTTCAGATTGAAGGTTCACTGAGAAATAACGACACGGTCCCGTGAAGGAAAGGATGAAGGCAGCCCAGGTGGCATTCACTCACCTGGGAGAGGGGGGCAGGCACTTGTCGGGAGTGCTGCCCGTCCCCCCCCCCGTCCCCGGAGGACCACTGAGGTCCTCTTCCTCCCGCGCCCCAACGGGCCGGGCGAGGAGCCCCCTTCCGTGACGTGGGGCTTCCGCTGCGCGTCTGCGTGCGGGTCGGCCGGTTCCGTGCGTCAGGGGCCCGGGTGTTCTCGGGAGAACGAGAAGTCCATTCCGCTCTGCCCTCCCCTCCGCAGCGTCTCCGAGATGAAGATGGAAGCCATCCTGTCTGCGCTGACGAGCCAGGACTGCTTTAAAGGGGGGCGCCGGGGCGGCCAGGTGAGTGAGCTACTTCTTGGTTTGCGGTCGGTCGCGGAGGTCGTGTGAGAGGGCTGCCGTTGCCCCCGTCCCAGCAAGCGCCTGTTTGAGGATCGGGGACATCAAACGGGGCCAGATCCGACGGTTGTTTCTCCGCCGCTCCCGGGTGTGTTTCCTGATCTCACCCAGTGCGCGGGCCGCGGCCCGTCCCCAGGGTCTGCCGGGCGGCCGCGGCCGTTTCCAGGACCAGGCCGGGCACGCGCTCTGGCCTGCCGGCCCCTCTGCAGGATTGTCCGCTCAGGACAGCGTCTCTCCCCAGACCCCCTGCGTCCGCCCCTTTTCTCGGCGCGTGCTGTGCGCGCAGGAGGGCGTGGGCGCAGGCCTGCGGGAGAACGGGTCTGCCGGCCCTGCCGGCCCGGCCCCGGGCACCCTTCCTGCGCGGCGGTCATCCCCCTCCCCCACCCCCACCCCAGCTCTGCCCTCAGCACCCCGCACGTGCGTGTGTGCACACGCGTGGGGGGGGTGTCGTCTGTGAAGTGTTCGTTATGTGGACACTTGGCGTTCCTTGTTTAGCGCCCGAGAACAGACTGGAGGGTCGGAGCCCAGCAGATCGAGCTTCAGAGTTCCTTCTCCCCACCGGCGCGTGTCTCTGTTCAGACTGACGCTCTCCCCCAGCTCGGGCGCGCTGCGCTGCGCTCGGGGCCATGTGCCCCCCTCCACCCCCCTGCGGCCCTCAGAGGCTGTCGTCCCACTTCGCAGAGGGGCACACCGAGGCCACAGGGTGACGGAGCGGGGGCAGGGCACGCTGGCCGTGGTCCGTCCTGCCGGGACGGAGGGCACGCCGTTGAGCCCCGGGGTGTGTGCTGCTGCTCACCAGTGCGCCTCCCGGGCGGTGTGACGGGGCGCGGGCGCGGAGCTCGGTCCCCGTTAGAGTTGGGCTGCGTTGGCTGCTGCTGCTGCTGCGGGAGTGAGGTTCGGCCAGGGGGTGGGTGGGTCACAGTGCGGGCCCCCAGGAGTGACACACGCAACCAAAACCTCCACTGGCCTGCAGCCACTCCCTGCGAGGGCTGTCTCTTCTGCGCCGACTGCCGGTCCCGGTCGGGGTTTCCCGTCCTGCAGGTCCTCCCCGGGGTCCCAGGGCGGCTCCGGCACCTCGTGAGCCGGCGTGCGGAGCAGCAGAGCGCGTGGCCTCGGGGCACCCCGACCCCGCTTCCCGGCGCGTGCCTGGGCGCTCGGGGCCTCCTGGGCCTCCGCGTCTCCGTGTGTGAGGTTGTGAGGACCGCAGCCCTCTCTTCACACGGCCCGGGAGGGTAGGGTGAGAAAGAGCCCAGGCGCTGAGCACAGGCACCCGAGGGCGTGTGTTTGCCTGTTGTCGCTGCTGGTCGTTGGCGTCACTGTCAGGTCGGTCGGTGGCAGGTGTGGAGTTGGGGACCGCTCAGGGGCACGGAGCCTCTCGCTGTGGCGCCGAGAGGGAGCGTTAGCACCTGCCCGCTCCCCGGAGGTGGGACCAAGCGGTGCACTGCGGCCGGGACGGGGAAGCCGGCTGCGTCCGGTCTGCACTCAGAGACCGCGGGCCTGGCCTTGGGGCGGGTGTTCACCCCGGAGCGTAGCGTGCACCGCGAGTCTGGGGGCGGGCAGGGCACGGAGCCCCTCCGGAGGACGGTCCCTGGAGGAGCAGCAGAGCAGCTGTGGCCGGGCAGGCTTGCTTTCCTCTCGGAGCCTTGGCCTTGGCCAGCCCTGCGGCCTTGCTGGGCCTGGAGGGTAGGCCCAGGGTCACACACACACTTGGGTTTGAGTCCTTGCTTCACGGCTGGTAGTGCTGCCCCATGGGCCGGCTCGCCTCTCCGGGCCTCAGTTTCCCCATCTGTGAAGTGGGGAGAACCAGCGTTCCCCTCTCATAGGGTGGTGGGCGGGCGTACGTGGGATGAGGCGTGACGTGCTCTGCACACCGGGCCGTGGGAGTCCACCCGGGCCCCAGGCTCCTGCCTCGGCGGATTGTAGTAAGTAGGGCGTTCGTGGGGTTTTTAAGGTTTTATCTGTTTAATTTTAGAGGAGAAGGGAAACGTCAGTGTGTGGTTGCCTCTTACGTGGCCCCTACTGGGAACCTGGCCTGCAACCCACGCATGTGCCCTCACTGGGAATTGAACCTGTGACCCTTTGGTTCACACCCCACGCTCGGGCCACTGAGCCACACCAGCCAGGGCCATGAGTAGAGTGTTGTGATGTTCTTAAAGTTCGGTGACCTTTGCTTGTAGAAAGGAAAGGGCTGAGCAGGGCGGGCTCTCGCCGACACCGAAACGCCGGCTCCCTCAGAGACCACACTGGGTTTTAGAGGCCGTGCTCGGGGAAGCTGACGTGTTCGACCCGGTGCAGCTTGAACGCAGAGGACAAGGACCACACTGCCAGTCATCCTGTGGGCTCGCAGCCCGACGGCACCCTGGTGCGGTCCCTGTACGAGTGCAGCGCGTCCGTGGGCTGTTCTGACCGGGCAGCTCTCCAGCGCCCGAGCGGGGCAGGCAGGTGGGGGTGGGCCCGGCGGTCAGGCCTCTCCCGCACGCGGCCGGCGGCTTGTTGCAATACAGTGCCCCTCCCCCAGCTGGCCGCTCGTTCGGAGCCCGCTGCGATGTCCCCTCGGCGTGGACGTGTTCGGGCGCCTGCGAAGAGGAGGCGGGCGCGGGGCGCGCCTGTGAAATGTATATTTCATGTTTAGGCGTATGAAATATACACAGCTGTGCCTGGGTGTGTGCGTGCTCACCCGCTACAAAGAGAATACATCTGATCTTCCAACTGGCCTGGGAGGCACTCAGAAGTTTCTAGGGACTTCGGGTGTAAAGCTCAGCTTGGCAATAAGCTGATTAAAACAAAATCCTTCCGTTCACTTTTGGAATACTTTGGAAGTTGATGACATCGAGACAGGCGCTTCCTGCAGGAAAGCCCCTCCCCCACGCCGCTCCCACCCGCAGGTGTGCACAGCAGAGGTAACTGGGCAGCGTTGTCTGGGCCTCCGCTGCTGCTTCTCGACGGTGCGGGGTGGCTGTCCTCCAAGTGCGCACGCACGCTCTTCCTGCACGTTCTTTTGTCCTGTGAGACGTGTCTGCACGGTTGGTTATCCTGATGAGAACCGTCCCCGGCTTCGGGAGACGCTGGAATTGAAATGAAAAGGAGGTCGCCAGCCCTTGCTCAGCTCTTCCTGAGCGTCTGTTCTCCCCGGGTCTGCAGGTCTCCGAAGAAAGGGTGCGGAGCATGGACAGACGGGGGGTAGGGGGGCGTTCCCCCAGACCGCCCGTGGGCTGCTCGTCGCCAGTGGGCTTCATTAGCCGGCACCGCACCCGCGCCCCTCTGAGGGTGTGCGAGCTGGACCGGGCCCGCGGGGGCTCCGTGCCCTGGGGGACCCGACCCCCTCTCATTACGGGAGCGCGCCTGTCTGGGGCTGAGCTGGTGTGGCGCGGCGCTGCCCCTCTGACTTCCGTTTAAATTTAGACTGTCCTCCCCAGAAGACAGCTGGAAAGTGCCTCCTTCGTTCTCAAGGGGGCGAGTTTGAAATAAAGTATTTCTGGAAGCGGGCGTTGGGGGGGGGTTAAGAAAGACACGGCTTTTTCAGAAGTATACTGTGTTTTCTGCCATTAACTTTTTCTCAAATTTACTAAAACTGACCTCATCATTTCAAACGCGTGAGCCTCGTTTTAACGCCATCTCCTCATTTTCCACTTGCACACACGCTCACGTTTTTTATGTGTGTGTATATGTAATTTTTGGGGGGTTGGAAAAGAAAAGATGCCTCATTTTGAAACCTAAAGGGGGGAATAAGAAAAGCCCTTTGTAATATATTGCCACATTATCACTAAATCCCCTGACAGTTGTGTCACAGAAGCAAGTCACCTGTCACTTAAGCTTGAGGTCTCTTTAATTTTCTCCTGGAATTCGCACCAGGCTGTCTTTAATTTGAGGCCTTTATTGGAATTCTGAAACCTCTCTGCCTCCCTGGCTCTCAGATCTATTCTGAGAGCTGTTACAGAGTGTATACAATAACCAACAGAGGGATCCGAGAGGGCTGGAGCTCTGTTTATTTAACACTCCAGAGGGATTTTTGTGCTCATTCGGTCCTGGCCGCCCGGCTTTCAATATCGCTTTGACAGCCGTTCTGCCCTTCTCATTAATTTTAAACAGTTAAAACACAGGAAAAAGAGGCAAAAGTTTTCATTATTAAAGTGCTTTACTTTTTAATAACAGAGGATTCTGTCCGCCGGGGGAAAGGGCATCCTCGCTAATTTCACATTCATTTAAAAAAAAAAAAAAACCCCCGCGAGGAGGTGACAGTTGCGCCACGGAGGTGGCTTAACGAGAGGAGGGCGGCCCGGGAAACTTTGCGTCTCCCGTCCGTTAAAAGGGCGAGAAAACCCTCGCTGATGACAGCAGCAAATGTCCACTTTCGTGATGCGCTCCTAAGTGGCTTTCCTCCCGACGCTTGTGTGGAGAAGACCCTCGAGGGGGCCGCGAGCGTGGGAGCAGCCAGACAGCCGTCCGCAAACGGGGGGCAGGCATGGTCTGACCGAACCAGAACCGGAAACGCCTCCGGGTGGTTCAGAGTCTCTCTCAGCCCAGAGACGAGTGTCGGCTCCTAAGAAGGAGGCCCTTCCTTCCCTCCCTTTGTTCCCCTCGGGCGGCTCTCAGAGCGAAGGGGACTCAGGGTCTGGGCAGCGCGCACGCTGGTCCTGGGCAGGGGTGAGGGCGAGGGCGGCCTGCCCTGCTGCTGACCCCCGTGGCGGGGCGGGGGAGGGGGGGCAGCAGCGTTCAGAGAGTCAGCCTGTGGGCCAGACGGGGTTGAGGACGTGTTCCTTCACATCTCAGTTTCCCTTTCAACGTCCACGTTCAAGAGAGAAACAAAGACCACTCGTTTTTCGGGGGCTACAAACAAAGGGAATCTTTTCTGTGAGGTTGTTCAAGGGTGAAAAGGAAAGGTTTTACTTACATCCAGCCGCACCCAGCTGTGACTTCCTGCAGAGAGACGGTTGGCTGGGACGGCCCGCGCCTCCCTAGGTTCCCGGGGACCCGGCGCGGTGGCCCCGGGGATGAGTCTGGAACCCTGAAAGGCCACGCAGCCCCTGGAAGGAGGATGTGTGGGCCGAACTTCGGGGGAACCGGTGGGGGGGGGGGGACCTGGGTCCTAGGCTCCGTGGCCAGTGTGAGGGAGGGGAGGGGAGGGAACTGAGGCCCGAGGAGGAGGTGCCAGGGTCCTCTGAAAGTGACTTGGGCTCGGGGAGGTTTCAGATGGCTGGATCGGACCTGGCGGGTTCCCGGTGCCTCCAGCGGACTGTCGCTGCGCACGGGGGCGACGGGAGGCTGGGGGAGAAGCAGGTCAACAAGCAAACACGCAGGCAGGCCCGGCCTGCTGCTGCGTCACGCGGCCGCCCGGTCCTCGCCGGCTCGCCCGTCTCTATAGCTGCCTTTCTTCCTCGCGCAATATTGAAGGGATTACCCTCGTTGGCCCCTAGGTGGTTACTGTGCGATTTTACTGTTATTAAATCTATCGTAAACTGCTTCATTATTCCCGACTCTGATCTGCCTCTCCTTTAATCCTTCCGTACCCCGCCCCGCCCCCCCCAGAAACCCCAGGCTGCTGGCCCCCAGGAGATCCAGGAGCGCGCCACGGCCCTGCAGACGGTGTTTGAAGATTACGTGCACTCCAGCGAGAAGACAGTCTCCTGGGCAAAGAGAGGTGGGTCGTGTCGTGGGTGACAGGCGACAGCTGGCCCAGCAGAGCCGCGCCCGCCTGGGCCTCCACCCACACCCCCCCAGCCGGTGTCCCTGCTCCCCGGCAGACAGAGCCTCCCCTCCCGGGAGGCTGCAGGGTCGGAAGCAGGCGGGGGCAGGTCTGAAGGGATCCTCCGTGCCGATTCCATCCTTCCCCACGGTCGGCACACTGCCCCGGCCGCGTGGGTCCCAGGGGTCCACTTATCCTCTCCTTTGAGAACTCGTAGAAGAGAGGCGAGGTGTCAGCAGCGGTGGTTGTGAGACAGAAACCGGAGACGCGGGGGGCCGGCAGGGTCGCACCGAGCAGCTCCTGCTGGAGAGCACAAAGGAACCGGGAAAGGGCGGTGCCGAGGGGGGGCCGCAGCCCAGGGACCGGCCCCCAGGATGCGACGGGAGAGTGGGGCTTCGCTTCCCTGCTCGGCCCGGCAGGGGGCACCACACCGTCTCCCGGGGTCACCAGGCCTCAGGCATGGATGCAGTGTCCGGTCGTCGCACGGGGCAGCGTGTGCAGGGCCGACGGTCTGGCGGCGGAGCCTCGGGAGCCTTGGCTGGCGACGCAGGCACGCGTGAGACCCCTCCGTGCTGGGGAGGCCGCAGTCCTTCCGGGCAGGGGCCCGCGGTTTCGGGGCTGGTGCCCGCTGGCTCTCCGGTGCAGCAGTCCTCGGACAGCGGCGTCCGGCCCAGCGTCGCTCTGTCACCGCGTCGGCGAGGTGCCGCAGGGGCGGGACTTGTTTGTGTCGGTGAGGCTGTGGCAGGGCCAGGAAGGGAGGGCTTCTGTGGGCGAACACCCGAGCGTCCTTTTCTGCCTTCACGAGTCAGTTTTTTAAAGCGCGTTTAACACATGCGTGTTGAGTTGGGCACTGTCCAAGGTGCGTGGGGTATGTCAGGGATCAAAGCGGACAACAGTCCTCGCCTTCGTAACGCTCCACTGGTGGGTGGACAGTGAGCACAGTAAATATAACAAATTACACATAAATTACTCTACCAAAAGATCAGAACTATGGCCCTGACTGGTGTGGCTCAGTGGATTGAGTGCCAGCCTGTGAACCAAGGGGTTGCTGGTTCGATTCCCAGTCAGGGCACATGCCTGGGTTGGAGGCCAGGTCCCTAGTTAGGGATGCATGAGAGGCAACCACACTTTGCTCTTTCTTTCCCTCTCTCCCTCTCCCTCTCCCTCTCCCTCTCCCTCTCCCTCTCTCTCTCTCTCTCTCTCTCTCTCTCTCTCTCTCATTTCCCCTCTCTAAAAATAAATATATATATTTTTTTAATTTAAAAATCTAAAAAGCTTAAAATATCAGAACTATGGAAAAATGGGGCCATGAAGAGGGTGACAGAGCAGAGAGCACTTTTTAAAAATGTTTTATTTATGTGTTTTATTAGAGAGGGGAAGGGAGGGAGAAAAAGGAGGAGAGAAACATCGATCGGTGGCCTCATACACACCCCAACCAGGGGCAGGACCGGGAACTGAACCAGTGATCTTTTGATTTGTGGACACTGCTCGACCAGCCAAGCCCCACTGGTCAGGGCGACAGTGCATTTTACAGATCTTATTTATTTACTTTTTGAGGAAGAGAAAGAGAGGGAGAGAAACATCCATGCATGTGTAGTTGCCTTCACAGGCCCCAAATTGGGGACCTGGCCTGCAACCCAGGCATGTGCCCTGACCGGGACTCGAACAGGCGACACTTTGGTTCGCAGGCCGGCACTTAATCCACTGAGCCACGCCAGCCGGGGCTCGACAGTGCATTTTAAACACAGGATCAGAGTGAGCCCTGTTGTGAAGGTCACACTCGAGCAAAACCCCCAAGGGGTCAGGCCCATGGCTTGGACGGCAGGTGGGAACAGAGGTGCCAGGCACTCAGGAAGGCGGAGCGGGGGGCGGGGAGGGCGGGCAGAGTGGGCAGAGGTGCGTCACCCGGGTCACCTCTGGCTTGGAGGCTGTCTGAGGGCCTGAGGTCGCCCTGTGGGAGCTGGGAGCTGTCGGGGGGCGACCGTGACCTTCAGGAAGTAGACGGTGAACGTGGGTTAGCGAGCTAATGTCGCCTCTTGCCTACCTCGGCACTCGGTGGGGGCAGGCCTCGGGGGGGCCTGCCCCCTGGACCGGTCGGGGCTGCACTGGGCGGAGGCCTGGGGCTGGCCCGGGACCGCGGATCTGTGTGTGACCGGCGCCCCCTTCCCACCCGGGGTCTGACCACAGTCTCGATGCCACCGAGCCTGTTTTCCTGAGAGCCTGCCCTTGTTGAGACGGGCTGGGGCTTGTCCGAGGGGAGTACAGTGTTTGTCACGGTGCCACTTTGCAGAGTGGGGTCATTTGCAGAAAGTAATGGCGACTCAGCTTGCTCTGCAGAATTTCGGGTTTAATAACGACGCCGCAACAAGAAGAAATGAAACCCCCACCAGCACCTCCGACGTGGGTGCCAGCCGTACTTCCCATATTCTGGGGAGACGGCGGCTGTGCGCGGGCGTCTGGATCACCAGAGGAAAAGCCAGGGTAATGACCCTGAGAGACAGGTTTTGTGGTTTCTCTTCGTTACCGTGGGGTTTTTTACCCCCACGACCAGACAGAGGTGCTTGTCTGCCTTTGGGGGGCTGTTGGAGTGGGGCCACCCCTCGGTCTCCTACCAGGAGGGAGCGAAGGTGTCCTTGCTCTCTTCTGCTGGTTCCTGGGGCGCACTGTCTCGGTGCCCCCCTCAGACCGGGAGCTCTTTGCTCTCCTCTCCGTGACTTCGGACTCCGTTCTTGCGGGGGGGGGGAGGGGATCGGGGGGGTGCACGTGACCGCACTGGAACAGCCCGGGACAGCCCCACACCCCGTAAGTGGTGCCGGCTCTCGCATCTCAGGCTTCTGCATATGCAAATTCTGCCCTCCCGCCCCGCCTCCCGGCGGTGCCATCCCAGAGCCGCCTCGGGAATCACCCACAAGGCAAGGCGGCAGCCGGTGGTGCCTTCTTGGCAGAGAACTGGCTGGAGGTGGGGTCACGTGCACACGTGCCTTCCGCCTGCGTTTCTGACCCTGTCCTTGTCCACGACCGGCATTCACTGTTGTCAGTCCCTGCCCCCCCAACCCCCTACCCCCCCCAGCTTTCCTGCGTCTTTAGCTAGAGATTCAAGTGATGAAACTTGTGGTGATGAAAGCCCGCTTTTCGGGCTCCTGGGGAGAGCCTTTCCCTGCAGGTCACCCCGCTCCTGTGGCTCACCCCGCCCACCTCTTCTCAGAGTCGAGACAGTCCAGGCCCCCAGGACCAGCCAGCCAGCTCCCCTCCGTGTGTCAGGAGGGCTGGGTCCCGGGCCTGAGTCCTTGTCTCTCACGGAATGGCACCTGTCCCCCTTCCTGTGGGCAGTGGTCCCTGTGGGTTCCGGTCGAAGATGCGCATGTCCCAGCCCGGGGTGGGGAGGGTGTGCACCCCTCGGGCCGGGTGGGGCCGGGAGGAGCGAGTCCTCCGCACCCGCGGGCTGCCGGAGGCTCTGCCCGCCCGCCTTGACCCTGCGCGTCTTCGTGGGGCCCCACCGCCCCTGACCAGCGCCCAGGAGCAAACTCAGCTCCGTGAGGACGCCTGTGTAGGGTGTTTTGAAGTAGGCCTCCCTCAACTCGTCAGCCGTCTGGCTCTGCACTAGGAGTCGGTGACCGCGGAGCGCTCACGCCGCGGCGGCAGCTCCGGCCCTCCTCCCGGAGACATGCCTGCCGCTTCCCGCCAGCCTGGGCCCCGCGGCCCGTTCTGTGTGCGCGCCGCCGGCCGGCCGGCGTGAGCCACTTCCCGCCCCTCGGAAGGCCCTGCGTGCGGCCGCTGCCTCGTCCCGAACCCCCGCCTCTCCGGACCTGCCACGCGTGGGGGTCTGCGCGAGGGTGTGAGCGTGGCCGGCTGCCGCTGTGCCCAGCGAGGCAGGAGTCTGCGGGGGTGGGGGGGAGGCTCCGTGAGAGCGGGCGGCGGTCCGGGGAGAGGGCACTTCCTGCCGCGCCGTGGAAGGGCTGTTGTCGTCTCAGTGCAGCTGTGGACCGGGCCCCTCCTCCCCCGCCTCCTGGGACAGGTTCTCCAGACTCGGCTCTCGGGGCTGGTGTGGAGACGAGGACGGGGCGGGGGGCGGGGGGGGGGCGGCGACAAGGAGAGGACGGGTGGACGGAGAGGCGGGCGGGGGCCAGCGTTTGGGCAGCAGACCTGGGAAGCGCCAAGTCTTGGGTGGGCTGGCCTGGTTTGGACGGTTTCGGCCTGCTTGCCCGGAGGAGGAGGTGTCCGGGCTGGAGAAAGCCGGGGGCGGAGGGGAGGCCCAGGCCCCGCTCCCCGAGGGCTGGCACGCGGAGCGCCGTGCCTGGACCCCGGCGCCAGGACCCGCGGAGCAGCATGGGCGTCTGCAGCGTTCCAGACTTCCTTGAAAGGAAGTGGCTGGCTGGTCCCCAGTTATTAAAGAGGGGAGGACGCCCAGGTTTCAGAGAGGGGTGCAGGGGGGTTGCCTGGGTTATCATTTCTCATCGACTGGGAAAAGGAGTTCACTTTGCTCAGTAAACAGAGCTTTGGTGGGTTCCCAGGGTCCTTCTCGGGGCTGATCTGCTAAAATGACACTTTTTATTACTGTTCATAAACGCCAATCTCCAGGTGCTGCCGGGATATTACATCTAAGCTGTGGGCAAACTTGCCAGTCCAGTGGCTCAACAACCCGAGGGCGAGAGAGGCTGGTGTTTAGTGCCCGCCTGCCTCCGTCGGACGCGGTGGCGCTGGGCTCTGCCGGGCGGGCCACGGGCGGGGCTGGGGGGCAGCGCCCAGTGACGGGGTGAGGGCGCTGTTCAGAGCAAACCCCTCTGCCCTGCCGCTGGGCGAGGAGGGGCAGGCACTTGGCTTTCATCGGTGCTGCTGCAAGACGGGGAACCAGCTGCAGGGAGACCTCTCCTCGGAGGCACGCGAGTGGGTGTGGCCAGGGCTCCACCCTCCGGGGACCGAGTCTGGCTTCTCTCTGGCCGTCCCCCAGTGCCCAGAAGGGGGCCGTTTCCTCGACCTGAGGACAGGCCCGCAGCTCTCAGCGTCCGGCGCCCCGCGGACCACGCAGAACTCTTAGCAGTCCTCCAGGGGCGTTCCGTTCTGTGAACTGTTCTGGAAATTTGATCGTTTTCTTTCTCTTTTAAAAACCCTGTTTTGTTTCCTTTTTCACGTTCTTTGGATGGTAAGAAGCCTGTGCCAGTCAGGACCCTTGAGCATGAGTTGGGTTTGAGAACCCCGTGAGTGCTCAGTGAAGGGGCCCCAGGACTCCCCTGTAAGGGGGGGGGGGCTGTGGGTGGGGCTGGCGGCAGGCCGCCGTTTGCGGTGACGTCACTCATTCTCGATAAACACGGGCACGGTCCCCGAGCCCGTGAACCTCCTGAATCCCGTAGCACGTGCCCCCACCGGCTGCTGGAGAGGAAATAAAGCCCGCCGAGGAGGTTTTTCCCTGACACGGAGGTCTCCTGGTCCCATCGTCCGTAGGAAGGAGATGGCCTGCGTCGGTCACTCCTGCTTCCCTCACCGCCTCCCTCCCTCCCCCCTTCCCTCTGGCGGGGCGGCCCCGCCCCTGGGTCACTAGAAGCCGCGCGGTCCAGTCTGAGTGATGCTGGGCTCAGTGACCGTTAACTGGGGCCCGTAGGGCTCGGGGTTGGTTGCTTTCCCTCGAGGAGCTGGAGACACAGGGCGCAGCCGGCGGCGTGGGCTGTGCTGACGGCCCGCCCCGTCTCCCCGCAGCCCTGCAGTCCTTCATCCGCGCCTACACCACCTACCCGCAGGAGCTGAAGCACATCTTCCACGTCCGCGCCCTGCACCTCGGCCACGTGGCCAAGAGCTTCGGGCTGAGAGACGCCCCCCGGAAGCTGGGCGGCCCGGCGGCGAAGAAGAGGAAAGCGGCCGTGAGGAGGTGAGCCAGGCTTGTCCCGAGACGGGCGGCCGAGTCCGGTGGGCGTGGGGGGCTCGGTCCGGCCGGCGGCTGCCCCGCGTCAGCCGTCCTCCCCCAGGTTCTGTGGCCGTCTCCGGGACCCGCCCTTCTCCCCGCACGGTGAGTGCTCGGGGCGGGAGGGGGGCCTGGTCGGCATGTGTCTGGGCTGCCAGCACGGGCGCTGGTGGTGCCCCGTCGGACTGGATATGGCGGGCTGTCTTCACCGCCACCGCCCGCCCTCCTGCCTGAGAGCCGCCGGGACCTGGGGAAAGACTGCTCGTGGGCACCCTGGAGCCGGCAGGCGGTGCACCCTGTCCGACTCGCGTCCGGGGCGCTGGCACTGGCTGCAGTGCTGCGCACGCTCGGGCGGGCCCAGAGAGCACGGTCAGAGGGACGGCCGCTGGCTCTGCGCCCGTCCTCAGACCCCAGGCGGCTGTGACTGGGCTCCTGTCTGCGAAGAGCGGTCGTGAGAGTCCCTCCTCTCCCAGAGACAGCGTCCCGTTGGGCAGTGGCCCGGCCCCGCAGACCGCGGGTGCGCGAGAGCCACGGGGCAGGGAGCGGGGCTGGTGGGCGGAGAGGACACGTGGAGCGGACGGGCGGGGCCCTGGGGTCCTGCAGCACCGGGCGGCCTGCCCTCCTCGTGCACCTCCATGTTGAGCGCCCGAGCGTGCACCCTTCGAATCTGAGGACGGCCCGAGGCAGCACCCTGCCCGCGGGCTCTGGCGCCAGGTCTGTCCTGCGAGGCCCCGAGGAGGGCGGGGCGCATCCTCAGCCTGGCCAGGGCCCGTGTCCCTGGTGTGGGAGGACTGCCGGCGTGGGGCGCGACTGCTGGTCTGGGGGGCGAGGCTGTGGCCTTCACTTCCTGCCCCGTCTGCTGTAGCCTTCAGCTCCGGGGCCGTGTGTCCACCCAGCCCCCCGGAGCCTCAGCGACAGAGTGGGGCGTCCATGAGCGGCGGCGGCTCCCCGAGGCCGCTCTGCCCGCCAGCGTGGGGTGTCCGTGATCCCCTGCTGTGGGCCAGGGTGGGCCGTGCAGGGACCCCTGGCTCGAGGAGCTGGAGCCCCACTCTTCGAGGCGGGCACCTCTCCCGTGCCACTGCTCCCCACCGCTGGGGTGGGGGGGCTGGGACACCGCCCTGGCTCCCGCCAGGCCTGCAGAGCACCACCCCTCCCCAGCCCCGGCGGCTCTGCGCCCAGGCGTTGGCTCTGCGGCACTCGGGTGCCGTGCGCCAGAGGCAGCCCCTGTCCTTGGGTCCCGGCCGGCTGACACCTGCACCTGCAAACTTGGGCTTTGAGTACGTGACGGACCACGGGGCCAGCCATCGGGTCCGAGGTGACTGTCCTGCCGCCATCCCTCACGTGCCGACGCTCGGAGAAGGCGGCCAGGGACCCGCCCGGCGAATGCCGGTCAGGAGCCTGGTTTGTGGGTCGCTCTCCCTGTACATCCAAGCAACCGGCCCTTGTCGCAGGCGACCTGCCTCTCCGGCTGGGGTCTCATTAGCGAACGTTAATCCGGACAGCAGCCCCCCCCCCAGATCTGAGAGCCGAGCTCAGGCAGGGGGCGGTGGGGGGGTGGGGCGCCTCGAGCCAGCATTGTCCTCACCGCGAGAGGCCACCAGGGAGAGAGCGAGCGCCGCCTGCCTCTGCGGCCGGCGCCGGCAGATGGGCACCGGGACGGTGGTGCCCCTGCGAGCAGGGGCTGAGCGGGGCTTTCTTCGGGGAAGAATGGGCCGATCCGCCGGGAAAGGGCGTGCGAGATGGCCTGGCGGGGCCTTTGATGTCTGGCTGGCGCGGCAGGGAGCCGGCGGTGACTGACGGCAGCGTGTCACAGGATTACTCCGCCCGCGACAATGCCGCGCTCTGTTCCTGCCGTGTCACCACTGTCCCTGCCACGTTCGCCGCCCTCATGCCCTCCTTTTGGAGGCATCCCCCTCCCTCCGCCTGCCCTCCTGCCCCAGCCCTGCCCTGCCAGCGGAGACGGCCTCTCGGGTACAGCAGGCACCGCCGTGCGTTTGGGGAAACCTCGGCACTCCCGGCGGGAGGAGGACTCGCGGCTGATCTGCACGCGGACCGTGTAATTGCGGTCAGGGTTCACCACAGAGGACCTGACAGGTTCCCCGTGCCTCGGCGGAGCGCCAGCAAGGGCACTTGCTGCTCTCCGAGCGCCGGCGAGACCAGTCCGTTCAACCCCAAAGTGTGGCGTCTGGTGCTGGGGCCACAGAGCCTGTTCTGAGCCAGGGCGCCCGTCCCCTCCGAGCTCCGTCCGTCCGGGAGGAGGACGGGTTCCCTCTGTGTGCTGTGGGGGTACAATAACGGGGCTCCGTCCTCTCAGCTACTGCGTGGTCCGTGTTACGGTGTGCGCTGCCTGGAATGACACGTGTTTTCTGCGAACCTCTGGAACCTGCCAGCCCAACCCACCGGCCCCACAGCAAACGCGGGGTCCGGCCGGGGCCTCTGTGGGCCGGGCTGGCGGGTGAGGTGGGGCCGTCCGGCATCTCCATGCACTGACGGCGGGGGTTTTATCCCGCTCCGAACCTTCACAGCTTCATGGGCCGGTTTCCAGGAAAAGACATTCCAGTCGTTAACATCCCCGGATTAGACCTGAACGACCAGGTCTCTGTCTGCTTCGCTGGGCCCCAGGTCTGCAAGGGGACACTGAGTCTTCCCCTGCACACGGAGATGAGTCATCACGGAACCTCTTCCGACCCTGACATGCACACCTGTTAGAACCGCCCCCCGACCCCCCGGACTCCCGCGCACGCCCGTGCACTAGTGGGCGGCCCTTGGTGCCGCCGTCCCGGACATGGCGCTGTCCTCCCGTGGGAGGGGGTTCGGACTGGAGCCTGTGTGGGTCCGGCAGGTCCTGAGAAGCACAGCTCATGCACCTTCTGGAACCCCTGGCTGCCCCAGGACGCTGAGCACCGTCTGCCGTGCGCGGCAGAGCGGGTGGTTTGCCAGGAGTCCGTCTGTCTGTCCCGCCAGCGCACGCGGGAGCAGATCCTGTTCAGGACCAGCGAGCAGTCTGGCCCCTCGGCTGTCCGACACCCTGGGGGGTGGTTCGGGGACACGGGGAGGGACTGGCGGGCCTGGGGGTCTCCGCGTTACCGTGACAACATGGGAGAGCGCGTCTCCTGTTTGCTGCCCTGTAGCAAGTGAGTTACCTGTGACAGTCACGAAAAACACCTTTCCCCCCAGGTGACTCGGCTCGTAGCCACCTGAACTTGCCCGTGTCCTTGGGGATGACCTTGGTGCCTAGGAACCCCGGGCGTCTTCCTTCCCGGACACTCAGCCCTTCCGCTCCCGTCCCCAGCCCCTCCTTTCAAAACTAGCAGAAGCAAAGTCTGAATTGTTGGCTGTTCTTAAAAGAAATGGTTTTATTTTTATGGGTTTCCTCAAGCCAGCCTAGCTAACGTGTTACCTGGTGGTTCCTGATTTCGTCGGACAGGCAAACAGCCTGAAATCAGGGCTCTCCTCTGTCCCCCGGTCCCCCTCCCCGATGCAGGAGTGGCGGCCGCGGTGGGGGCAGAGCCCCACCCCCACCCCCGCGGCCTCCGGAGGAAGTGACGTCCTCTCGGGGCCTCCCCCGCCGGACGCTGCCTGTCTGAGTGAGGGCAGCTGCTTGTCACTGGACTCCCGACGGCAGGTTTCGCGGAGCGCCGTCGTCGGGGTGTCTGTGATCTGCAGAGCTGCCCCTTGTGGGATGCGCGTGAAGGAACTGGTGGGAGTTGGTGTGGTGCCCATTCCAGTCTGAGGACTCGGTGCCTCTCAGACGAGGCGCCGGGGCCGGGGCCGAGAAGTGGGCTGCGCGGGGTGTCGGGGGCACGTGTTGGCGGCGGCCGCGGCAGTGACGACTGTGTCGACTGGTCCCCGGGCCCCCGCTGCCCCGTTCCCTCGTGGCCTTGACCACCTCCCTGCTGCCACTCACTCAGCTGAAGGCCCGGCTGGAGTCCGGCCCACGGAGAAAGCTCCCTCAGTTTGTGGGACCAGTTACTCTGTGAACGTGGGGTCAGGGGCTGGAAGGGGCCCTGCCGGGGCACCCACGAGGAGACCGCTGGCGCAGACCCGCCGTGTGGTCCCAGGGCCCGGTCACCGCCGTCGCACGTCCCGGCCTCGTGACTGGCAGCGCTCCGCCCGCAGCGGCACCTGGACTTGAGTGTGGCCTGCCGCTGGGCCTCCACCCTGCCCCCTCGATGGCTCTGGGACCGAGACCCACGGCGACGGCCCCTGTCCGTGCCCCGCACGGCCTGGCCCTGCTGCCCTTGAGGCCCTCGTCCGGGCGAGCCACAGGCCACGGTCACTGCTGCAGGGACGTCAGCTCTTGGCATCCCAGCAGAGTCCCCAAGAGGGAGCAGCCCACAGAACATGGAGACGAGCAGAGTGGGGGCCGGGCGGCGGCCGCGAGCGGGGCAGGCTCTACTCGCAGTCTCGGCCCAGGAGGCCTTGCCCCATCCGGTCTGAAGTCACCGAGTGCACAGCGGACGTGATCCTGAACTCGACTGCCAGATCTCAAAAGCCCAGACCCGGGCGCCACCCCGGGAGCCTCAGCAGCGTGGTCCTTGGAGCAGCCAGCGACAGGGCGTCCTCCTCAGCCCCGGTGGCTGGTGGGCGCTGGCCACGTGCGCCTCGTTGCGGTGGGCCAGGGTCGGTGAGTCTGAGGGGGAGGGGGGGCCTGGGGGAGCCGCACGGGCTGCGAGAAGAGCGCGTTCTGCTGGGCTTTCGGTCCAGAGGACACACTGGGGTGATCTCTGCAGGGCGTTTGGCCTTCGAAGTGTCCGGGCAAGACGAGGGGCAGGTGGAGTGCCCCGGGCGGCGTCTGGGTCTTTCTGGCATGAACCCCTGGCGCGGAGGAGCCACTCCGGGCTTTTCGTCAGGGAGTCCCTGCCGACTGTGTGTTCCCGTGGCCCACGGGTGCCGGCCGATCCCGGTTCCCTGCTCCGGGGTCTGGACTGTGGGCCCCGCCCTGCAGGGCGCTGGTTCCCGCACAG